TAAAATGGCTGCCACGTTGATAAAGTGTTCCTTTGATTTATTCACTGTATAAATATTTTAAATTGTTCATTTTGGTTTAGCTTCCAACTTAAAACGAGTTGTGATGAATCAATACGTATTTCTGTTCCTACTTATAGCTTTATCGATATATATATTTGCTTATTTGCAATAAAATTAATTTCTTTTTATTTGGTTTATTTTATTATATTTTAAGTTATTCATCTATGACTACCACTCCCCCTGATCCTAACCTTATCTTGATCAGTGGTTAACCTGTTTAACCAGTGTTACACCTGCTTTTGTCAGGTCATAATGAAAGACCGTGCTACTTCAGCAAGTAGGAAGACAAGAACATAACTGAATGTACTTTATTAGAGTAAGATTTTATATATATTTACAGACACAAACTACAAAAGAACACGTAAAGTGTATTTTGTTTAGTTTTTTTATATTTTGTCACTTTTTTATTATTACTGGACCATCAATTACATATAAGCTATATTTAGCCGTTCTCATTTATTAGTCCCTTTTTTTATTATTTAAAAATCAATTTAAGTGAAAAAATTGCTAATGTAAAGTGAAACTGGATGATGGATGTGAAGAAATAATAATAAATAATAATAAATGTACATTTGTGGGTGTGGGTGGCTGGCTTGGCATCTGTATGTGAGTGACAGTGTCAGTGTATAGCCTTACCTTCATGAAAAAAATGCAAAAAATAAAAAGTAAAAGCAATTAACCACTACAATCTACTTAAACAAACCACTGATTTGCCTTGTGCCACTAATTAGTACTCTATTAACTAAATGAAACAACAATTCAAGTAACAAATACAAATACTTTATTTGGACAAAGTCAAAATAACTCTCCATCTAGCACAAACTTCAAAGTCCTCTCCCCAAAGTCCTTCTCTTCCTCCTTTTTCACTTCTGCAAAGACAAATAAAGTAGATACAATGACACTACTACTTGTTCTGGCTGTAGACAATCTTGTCTGTAGTGGATTTGTCCAGTTGATGTGTCACTCACTCTTTAGTCAATACCTGTGAAATGCTTCAATCCATTTCTTTTCATTCCTTTAATAGTGACGTTGAATTAGCTCCACACTGAAGGACCACTGCACACGGCTGGTACATCTCCATTACTTTGGCCTGATTCTAAACCTTAACATGACGCATTAACTGCCGCAGTGAAGAGAACCAGAGATGAAAATACGTATGGTCAGACCGTAGGGCACGTGCCGGCAATAAACTTCCATCTTCAAAAAGTTCTATATATTGAAGAGGTGTTGTTCCTGGAGGAGGAATAAGCCCTTGGAGCAGGAGACCAGGTTGATGAAGATGGCAAATCAGATCTGACTAAATAAGAGGGAAACACAAGTTCTCCAGTAACAAACTAAGACAGATGGAAATATACGAACTAAGGGGACGACAAAAATGGACATTCAGTGCCATCATTGGACATGAACAGAAGACAAAGGGACTAACATGTTCATTTGAAATGCCAACATTTTAAATGCAACAAGTCAACCACACACAAGAGGAAACTTCACATCATTTAGCTTCTTGAACACAGGGTAACAATATTGTCTGTTTTTTTAATTCCTCAGACTTCAGTCACTGAGGATAGGTTTTGGAGATTCTGGAGATTCCTTCTACCTTTGAAAAAAAGTAGTTAAAAGTTAGTATCCTTTTCAGTTTCACCATGTACCAGATTCGACTATGTACTTTAGCAGAAGATAAATTGAGCAGCCATTATCATCAGTACCACAGGTCCATAATCTCAGGCTTATTGGTTCCAAGATATAGTAAGTCTAAATATATGAATAAGAAACATAATATACATATATATACATATTCATCAATTACTAAGAATGTGCTGAGAAATAATGTATAGAACAAGTATGTAGACTGAGCACAGGAAACTTAGTTGTAAAAGTAATCATTTTATTTCTTACCTTACTCTGTATTCACTTCATCAATAGAGAATTATATTTCACAGAAAATCTTATTTACTATCATTCAAATGCACGTTTTCCAAATATGTACTTAAAACTAACTGCAGAGCACTTGACAGTTAAAGGATACTCTTAATTTATAACTTGTTAAGTGACCAAAAAATAGCAGCAGGAACGTGAACAGTCATCAATGAACCTCCATTTATCACTTCATCTTTGGTGTCAACATCCACATCTGTAACACTTTTGTGTCTTCTATAAAGCACACATAAAAAAGGACAAGGTAACCTAGTTACAGAAACTAGTTATCCACAATGAATGTAAGTGTTTCAGTCAAATTAAAATCATCTTTCACCGAATTTCTACTGAATTTGTTTTCTCTCCTCTTCATCATGAGTTGCAGTCTATGTGCTAGGCTACGAAAAGACACTGTTTATTGTAGTTTTCGTACGAAGCGTGCTAACGATTTCCTGCTAAATGGTGTTCCACTCACCTGTGTGAAGATCCAAAGACGGCCTAACGTAAGCGTTGCAAGCAGTGAGAAAAATTGGTAAACACAAAGCTCCGTGCGTAAACCAGTCTTTTTCTTCTATGCACATGCACAGTAATGTATGCTATTCTGGCAGGTATGGTAATCTGTAAGGAGACCGACTGACAGCACAGAGGTTTAACAATATGAAGAGAAAGTGCAGAATCTCACAATGGTTCAGTTGTAGGATTGTTACTTTGAAGTATAAAATAAATAGTATTTTTTATGTAAATGTTAATGCTGTGTTGTTACAGATGATCACTCCAGCATCTCCAGTATTTATATAATACAGCTAATTTAGCACTGTGCTAAATGAGCAACTGAGCTTAGCTTTGTGGCTGCTCAAATATTTCTATCTAGATTAGTTATTGCAATGCAGTGAGCGTTGAATGGTTGCATTTTATACCAAGTTGTTTCATGGATAAATGGCTCAAAAGTCACGACTTCTATTTAAAAATAAAAGTTATCCAGACGTTGGGGCTAATGGTATTAAATATTGTACATTATACATTATTATACACGGTCGTGTATAACTACACACTAAATATTTAACCCAAATCTTTAAATATCAAATCAAAATTTGCAAGAAGTTAAGTTTATATAATTTTCTTTGGCTGGACTTTCCTTTAAGTGTTGTGTGCAATACAAGTGTGCAGTATTTCCTTTCTTATAGACAGTAAGAATTATTTAAGATGTTTCACTTTTCTTCTGTCAACACAAACAAGGCCTCTTATTGTTTATATTGACACTGCATCGTTGCTTTCTGTTTCATAAAAATATTGAACAACTACAGGCACCACTACCTAATATTAAATATCTGGCACTGTTTAAGCACTTACCTTAAAGTATTATTGCACTGAATGTGACCTCAAAACAACATAAAGCCCTATGTTAGATTATACAAGCGTTACTGTAAAAATACTGCTGCTCATGCTAAGGCCAACACCTGCAGATCTGCAGACATGGAGCCTACCCCTGCAGCCCAGGTGGTTCTTGTGCTTGAAGACAAAAGGTTTGTCTGTTTGTTTGTTTTTTGTTTTTTTTTTAACAGCTGCTCCTTAGTCCACAGAAAGTGTCAACGTGTCCTCCTCACCGTAGCTCTCTGATGAGTTGTCTTTTTTTTATTTGTCAATGAGTTTGACCAGGCTTTGGCGGAGGTCATTGAGGTCAAAAATCTTGATGTCCAGAATTTCAATGATCCTCTGAATCTCAGCATCCACACGATCCCGTTCCTCCAGTGAGCTATTTAGGTTCTGCTCCGCGTTCTGGATGCGACGCTCCAATTCAGAGTTTCGCATCTCCATTTCCTGCAGAGAAAAAGGAAAGAAGCGAAAAACAATGTGACTGCTAGAATACAATTTACTACTGAAAGCATTTGGTGTCGGAATCACAATCGTACCCGTAATCTACGTATGGCCTCATCTCTGTCACGTTCCATCTCGTGGTACTCCACCTTCTTACTTTGCAAAATGTGGATCTCCTGGAAAACAATCCACAGAGAGCAAGTATGTGTGTGGCCGAGTCATTTTGTCAACATCAGTTACTGAAATCAAATTTTCTTAAGGTACAATAAGGTGTAAAATATAAATACACACAGACTGAAATGTTATATATATATAAATATATGTATACATTGTATTAGTTCTGTCAAATGATTTAAACCTTATTAATCACAGGGTAAGTCCAGACCTGTCTCCTATTGAATATTTATGAAGTGCAAAAATACAGAGACGTTGAGTAGTAGAAGTCAAATACGGTATGTTTATAAGGCAAACAAGATAAGAATTCCACCTACGAGACTCCAACAACCAGTGTCTCCAGGTTTGAAAGAGTTTTTATGTTGTTCAAGTAAACAGTGATGTAAACATGTCCCTGTCTAAGGCTTTCTGGAACATGCTGAATGGATCAAATTCAAAATGATCAATTATGTTAATCAGTTTCAGCATTAAATGTCTGTTTATTCTGTCTCCTAGATTCAATGAAATTGTAGTTCGTAAATGGAGCAGAGCACCAACCTCGTCTTTGGCCTTCAGCAGAGCCTCCAGCTCCTCCAGAGACTGAGTCAACTCATCCTTTAGCAGGTCACTGGGGCCGTGGCCTCCATGGGCCTCCAGTTCGGCTACCTTCAAACACATACACACACACACACATTTAACTGAATCTAACATAAAGTAACTTATTGCATATGTCATAGTTTAAATAATATATAGTGCCTTTCTTGTTATATGTCATAAAATTAACCTTTGAGATTTGCTCATACTTTTTTGCCTGTTGAGTTTTTCAAAATTCAGATCCTCTTTTAACCAAAATAAAATACTACAAAATATTATAAATATTTCCACTAAATAATTAAAATTCTATAAAAGCAATTTATATAAAATATAATTTACTGTAATTGTTTGTGTGAATATGTTTGTCATGTAATTGCAATATGTATGTATATGTATATGTATATACATCAACCCCCTCCATCCCCCAGTTTTTGACAGAGGAATCACTTGACATCAGTCCAAACCAAGACTGTTGAGATTTGAAGAAGCAGCAGAAAGGAGAGAGAGAGAGAGGGAGAGGAGTGGATGCCAGCTCCCTCTGGTAATTTTTCATTTTTTCCCTATCTGGGGCATAGAAAGTAGGATATTGCTGTCCTACAAACCCCACTCAATCTCACACCACCCAAGAGATGTGAACCATTTTCAGCCACCTGGCTGGCCTCCTTCAGACACAGGAAACAAGAATGTACAGCTAACGAAAACCAGATCTTGAAACTGTTTAAATACCAAAGCAGCACAGGAGCATAAAAGGCAGTGATCGATCCTGCAGAGTTGAGCTGTAATGAACTGAGACGAGGACACGGAAGCAGTGAATAAGAGCTTTGTAATTGTCAGCCTGAGGCCAGGTCGTTCTGGTCCATGGTGAAAATAGCAGAAGGGGTTTTTCAATCTGCTTCCACTGAAACTGAAAAAGTACCTCAAGTATAAAACGTCCCCAACAGGCTCAGTGTATTTAGTCTAAACTCTCCTGAGGATTAGGAGGCACATTGAGTTTGCCTTGTGTATGAAATGTGCTCTATAAATAAAATTGAATTGAATACTGACTACATACTGTAGTGTTGGTCATTCAAGCAGCAAACACCTTGTTTAAAGCTGTACAGGGGAAACACCTGCACAGGGAGGTCAAACCCACCAATCAATGTCATCACATATCTATGTCCATCACAACCAAACCCAATATTTGTATATAAATATTGTAATATTTGTTATTTGTAAGTGTCACAAATACCCTTCAAACCCAGCCCTCCAGCACCACTGTCAGAGGACTTATCCCCTCAGCTACATTGCCATACAGAATGAGCTGCGAGGACCTTTTTACTGTTTGTGATAAACTAGTCCATGTTCTTCAAAAAAATGCCTCTGTTACAAAATGTCACAGTATGGTGTCACTTATATTTTCTGTAATGCTGCTTATGCTATTTTTGAGAAATTAAAAAAAAGAAAAAAGAAAAGCACTAGTATATGGGGTAAACCAGGTCAACAGAGCACCTCTGTCATCACACTGAAATCAGCAGGGACCTCACCTGCTCCCGCAGCCGCTCCGTCTCCTCCTGATAGGCTACTAGCTGTTTCTTCCACTGCTCCACGTTGTTGTTAGCTTCGTGCAGCGCTGCCACCAGCTTTGCATTGCTGTCCTGCAGAGTGAAGAGCTCGGCTTCCAGGTTCATCTCACATATGGACCTGACAACCACAAGTAGATACTATTAATGTTATTAATATTATTATTAGAGATGTTTATTAGCTAACTTTTTTAATCAGATCAATCAAAGGGTAGTTGTGGATTAATCATGATTAACATCGCCTTTAATTTAACAGACATTTTTTCACTGACTCAGTCAAAATATAAACATAAAGGAGTCAATGCACATTGGTCTTATACTAAATTACATCTGAGCAGGTAAGTGGAAAATGCATGGTTGCAATTAATCAGGGTCACTCATCATCATGATCACGTGGCACATTCTTTTAATAAAAACGTATTGATCACTGCAGTCACCCTTGAAATGTTTCAAATTCCCCTTGAGAATATAATATTCAGAGGAATTCCTACTTGTCTCCCATAATATACTAAAGAAAATAAGAAAGTGCATGGAAAAAAGAAAAAAAAAAGCTAAACTTGGTCAAAGCTTTTTTTAAATTAGTAATTAAAGAAAGTTTGAAAAAACGAAAAAGAACAACATTACCCTTCAGAGAGCATTTTTTTGATTCTCTCCTTCTCAGATGAGAGTGTGATGTCAGCGCTCTGGCTGCGGAACAGCTTGTCCTCTGGTCCATTCACACACATCACAGGTGGAGACTGGAGTTCATCAGAGAGGTCCTGAGAAACACATCAGTAAATGGGCTTTTTCTAACACTGGGCCTATTGGAGAACAAGCAGACAGGCCCAGCAGAGAGGCTGCTCGTGGGAATTAGACAGTATCTGCAGATGTGCTTTTTTTTAATTTAAATTAAGTGACTTTAATTTAAGGATTCAGAAGGAAACAGAAATGACAAACTCACCTGTGAGAACTTCAAATGAAACCCGTGAGGAAGAGAAATAGAAAAAAAATCATGTCAAAACTAAGTAAAATAATATTTAAAAAAATCATTATTTATTACAACAGTTTTGAAGAAGATATATAGAAGAGCTATTATGTTGAAAAATCCAGGATTATAAAGTAGTCTGTCATTTTTTTATTTAGTTTTGGACTAGCCACCAGGGGGCGCGTGAGATAAAAAAGCTTAGAAATTGTGAGTGAATTGCTAAGAGCAGGGATGCGCAAAGTGTGGTCATCTGCCACCAGGGGGCGCGTGAGATAAAAAAATGGAATGTAGGTATGGAGGTTTTCTTTTTAAGTGGTATTTTTCTATACAGTAAAAAAGCTGTGAACATTTCTGTTGTAAAACTAGTGTGCAAGAATTGCCCAAGTGAATTAGAACAGATCCTGAAGGGAGGAACAGGATTGGCTCAAAAAAAAAGAAAAGAAAAAAGGTGTGTCAGGAATCAAAAAAGATTTTGGGGGCTTTTGTAACAAATTAGGTGTTAATAGGTTAGAGCTGCACAAGGTTACAGGTATACAGCTCCATCTGTCAGTGGGTGCTCCGCTCTTTAGTACCAGTGTAATACCACTCCAAACTAGAAAAACTCATAGTTGTACCAACATTAATTTTAATCACCTATTACAACAGAGCCGATATGGTTATTATATTGATAAAAGGTCTGGATTGACCAGTTCATTACAGTGCCTGAAACCTTTCACTGTAAGTTTGTAGTGAATGTGGATGAGATGTCGAGCCACTTGTGGTGATTTTACCATCGTCCTAGTTTACCACACTTTCCTTAACAACAAGTGACCCAGTTCATCTTTCTCTGCGTCGTCCTCTTTGATTCAGCCTCAGCAGTCGTGGATGAAGCACTGCAGACCAACATACTGCAGGAGTATTCACTCACACCTGGTCCTATAGTGTTTTCAGTCCTACTTTCTATGGACTATGATGTTGACATTTGTGCTTGCTCTACAGTAATGTTTCTAACTGTTTGTATTCAGACCTGAGGAGCAGCGATGGTCAGCGCTGTGTTTGCCAGGTCTTTATCCTGTGACTTTTCACGGGCGAGGCGAGCTGCATCCTTCACCTCCTTAAACTTCTCTGAGAACTTTTTAAAGGAGGACAGGTCAGAGTGCTAATTAATTAACCAGGAGAGAAACACAGGAGATCGTGAATCAGTGTGAACGTGGGAGGAGTCTGGAGATGTACCTGATGAAGCTGTTGTTCTGTAGCAAAGCCCAGACCATACACAGTGTTGGCCCGGCTGTCTGCCCACTGACCAAACTTCTGCGACGTCTTGGTGAAAGTCATGCTGGGTGTGACTGTGCAGTTGATAATAGCCTACAGATACACATAGAAGACTGTTAGAATTCTTTATCCAATCAAATTTAGTAGAACAATTGGCTATTTCTGAGTTTAATGGTATTCGTATAAAGTTTTTTAAACTAGTTTGTGCTATTTAGCTTTTAAGCTGTAGTGTGTGGAAATTTCTACTATTATTTGCCTATGATTTTGGCTGTATTTTTTTTTTCTAATCCTAGAGTACATAATTCAAGTAAATCTTTTTAGTATACTGCAAAAATGTTTAAATCTGTTTCAATATTTTTGAGATTTTGTTGCTTGCCCAATTTTTTGTTGTTTCCCTAAAAGCAATATTTGGTAAAGTTGAACTTTTTGTTGAACAAAAAACATAGATTTTGAGCTGTGCAGAAAAACTCTGTGGTTTTTATGAGGACATTTGTGAAGCACCAGTTCTCCACTGCATGCATCACTTCAAGCAAACAGATATTTTCAGGCTTATACTCCCCTGAGACATCTTTGCTCTTTTACAAATGACCGTTCAATCAAACTAATCAAAACCCTAAAGCTTTGCCGCATCACACGCTTCTCTTATTCCATGTACATGTAGCTCAGGCAGCAGTAGTCAAAGACAGTCACCTCAATTCTCAGGGAAATGAGTGAAAAAAACATGAGCCCAAAATCTATTTATAAAACCTCTTTACGTCATTTCCAGGGTTACAATAATGGGACTGATTTAAAATCCCAAAATAGCAGAGCGCTGGCAGGAGAGAGATTTTCCCTGAATTTTTTTCCCCTCTCCTCAAACAAATGAATACATGAACTGGACTGGGCGTATTAGTAAAGGACAGACGGACAGCAGGAGCAGCAGCAGAGCTTAGCTGGAACCCAGACACACCGCTTCTGGCAGGACTGAGCTGCTGACCCACCAACAGCCACCCTGCTGTCTGGAAATGTGGGTCAAACCAGAGGTGCTATAATCAGGGATAAATACTGTACATAGACCCTCTTAATACACCCACCCCCTCCCTCACACACTCCACTCCAAGGTTTAATGTCGCCTCTTCATTATAATCTAAATCTGCAGGCGGCTGATTTATCAACACCCACTGTTGCTTTGGTTTTGTCATATTTCTGGTTGAAACAGGCAGTAAATTCAGTTTTGTTCTAATTTCAGACAAACGGAAATAATTTAATTTTGATGCCAAGTTGAAGTAAATGTAAATTAACTGTACATAGGTAATTATTTACTAGTGAACAACTTACTAAGAAGACTGCATATATACGTGTCTGTTACACTTCAATTTTACTGCCTTTCCATTCTTTCTACCTTGGTCCCACCCACGCTGATGATGCGGTAGACATTCCGATTGGCGTCATAGAAGAAAGACACGGTGACGGCATGTTTGCTGGCTGGTATCCAGTTCCTCTTAGTGGCTGGGTCAATTTGGAAAACATGAGCCCTGGCACTGAAGATCGGCTGCTCCCTGCAAGAGGAAACACAGAGAAGGATTACTGGGGGAAAAATAGATGTTAACATAGAAATTGAAACAGATGCAGAGATTTCTTAGACCAGAATCAATAGGATTAGAAATTAGGTCATGATCGTAACAGAAAAAAACACATATCGTTTTTTATAACTTGGAATAATTCAGCACATTTCATTACAGTGGCTGTCTCTAATTTATTTGCAGCTACATTTGGTTCATTTCTGATATCCTGTGGTTAATTATGACTAACTTTAGTCTGTTAATGCCTCACTAAGTTATCTATTTTGTCTAAACTGCACATGTTGCTGCTCCTCTTTGTCTTTTTTACTTATCTCCATCTCGCCATCATCTCGCATAAAAAGACTAATTAAAGTGTTAACACAGAAAAAAATAAACCAGGGCACTTCCTCTATGATGCAGTTATGTGGACTTCTGCAGCTGCTCCCTGTAGAGCTGTATAATTTTGGCCAGTCACTGCACATTTATATCTGACCCCATTAGAAAGACCCGAAAATCCAAGAGTGGTTTCTCCGAACTCTAGGTCAGATCAGACCATGAGGATCTGCAGATACACAGTGTTTGGAGAAAGGGCTGTGAGGATGCTGAACAACAGCAGCTCCTATAAGAGCTGATAACTGGACAGCAGTCAATCACTTCTCAAGGATGTTGTCCGACCTTCATCCTCAGCAGATGGATGTGGCCTTTCAGGCTTAATGGGGTCAGGTGGTCTGAGCATAAAAAGCCAGCCAGTGATTGGACAGAGGTCAGGGCAGACCCCAGGATGAGTGACCCCTATAATTCCTGCATTATCCACACAAGCTGTTTTACCGAGGTTCACTCCTGGATTTTCTATTCTGATGCCATGGAATTTTTCTGTAGTTGACAGCTTTTAGTTATCACTACAATAACAGTTACCAAACCCCAATCGCTACTAAGAAAAATGGATCAAATAAGACTAAAACTCAGGGGCTGTACAGCAAAACATATTAGAAACGTATTAAGCGATTCATCAAGTGTGAAAGGATGCCGAGGAGTTTATTTTGAACTGAGACAATAAACAGAACCGTTGCTCTGAACAAGCTGCGTTCAGAGACTTCTACGACTGTGGCCCCGAAGATTTACTGTAACATTTCACTTTTTTTTTAAATTCAAAAACAAAATGTCTCTACTTAGAGGAACTAACTAAATAACAAACACGTTTTTAAGACATCAGCGTAACGGTTGGAATCACAGGATGGGGGGGTAGAAGATAAGATATCCATACCTTTCTCTATGGTGAGGAAACATCTTACAAGGACACAGATGATTCTTTTCTGCAAAACAGTGTAAGCATACTGTTTGAGACTGAGACTAAATAAGCAAAAAATATTTACTAATAAAAAATCTAAAGTAGACTTGGTGAATGAACAGAAGGTAGCACAGCTCACAATGGAGTTCTGAATTTCTCCATCACAGCAACAAGGACAATGGCTGAGAGAAATGGGGGGTAGAAGATAAGATATCCATACCTTTCTCTATGGTGAGGAAACATCTTACAAGGACACAGATGATTCTTTTCTGCAAAACAGTGTAAGCAACAAGGACAATGGCTGAGAGAAATAAATATTCATTACTTTGTTTTCTTTGGTATCATCTTTGTATGTACAGGAGGTATACTCCTAACATTTCTGCACCAAACCTACAAACCAAGACCTTATGTGTCTCTTCTATAGCGTTTATATTCCATTTTATTATTTACTGCACCAGAGATGAGGTCGGTGAGTGGGTCTGGTCTGTCTGGAAGTACAATTGTTGTTATAAATGACTTGTCTGCAATGACAAATTATCAGTACTAAAAACTGCAGTAATAAACAACTCAAGGTTCAAAAAGCCAATTCTTGCACAAATTCCAAAAAAACAAACAAAAACCCCATTGTCTTGGTCCTCGTCTTATCTTAGTGTTTGTTCTGGCCTGGTTTGCGTCTGTCTTTGATTTCTCCTCCTCATTGTCCTGTCTTGGTTTTTGTCTTACATCTTTGCCAGGTTAATTTTTCCCCATGTCTTGGTTTAGTCTTACTTTGCTCCTGGTTTTGTCCCAATCCTTCATTCCTGGAATTGACTTGTTCTTTGTGCTGTAAACCTGTCATGTCTTGTCCTGTCTGTCCTCCTCCTGCACTGGTCAGTGTTCTATTTAAATACATGTCTTGAGTCGGGTTCCTGTCATGTTTTGCCATTTGTTCTTGAGTCGAGTTCCTGTCATGTTTTGCCATTTGTTCTAAGCTTATTATATGTTATATTATTTTCCGTGTATGGTCTTGGTCAAGGTCTTTGTTTTGTTTTTATCATTCTCTCATTCCTTATTAATTTCTGACGTCTCAACTTACCCCATGTCGGTGTAAAGTCTTTTTTTTCTGAAAAAAATTTGACTTGAACTGCTTCTATCCCGGTCACTCCTTAGCCAGTTCACTTCTAGGTATTTCTCTCCTGAGTATTTCCAGAATCAGCAGCAGCGACTCTCCAAACTCTCATCAGCCAGGCAGCGGCTGCATGTCACCGGGTCCACAGCCCCACAGCTTTAACGCCGATCTTTTTTAAGAGAAAAATGTGACCGATGTTCCGCCTGATTCCATTATCTGTTAGGATAAAAAAAATTCCTACAGTTAGAGCGGCACCCTTTTGTTTCTATTCTTTCTCTAGTTCTCCATCCAGACAGCCGGGCTCAGCAGCAGGACTCAGACAGCAGAACAGTACCACCTGCTGGATCTGAGGGCGCCGAGCAGCCGCTGATGCTTCAGCTGAAGATCGACCTAGATGTCCGCGTTTCCGCTGCTTTTGCAGACGGTCTGAATGTGTGCATAATCCCACAGACTGGATCTTATAGGTCTGTGTGGAGCTGCCTGTTAAACGAAGTTTAATGGATTAAAATCCCAGGGGAAAAGTCCTGACCTCAAAAGACTTTTTTCGCAACCTCACTCTCTCCTACCTACTTTGTTTCAGTACAAGTGAAAACAAAAATGTTTACAGTCACCATAATTACATTTTAACACGACATTGTGACAGTAACACAATAAACTAATGTTTCTATGTTTATATTATTTATGCACACAATGCATTACAGGGGTCTGAGGTAGCAATTAAATATCAGAAAATTCTAGACTAATCTTGCCAATAGCATTCACGAAGCTAGCGCTAAACAGCACGATAAACAAAACGGAAGCTTTACATACCCTAGTTGTATTGTGTGATACCTATTATAGATATTAAAAAAGCAATATGATAGCTATAAAAGTAATTGCAAATAAAAAATAAATCTTAATATTCATCCAACGAGATAAACTAAATAAAAAATAAAAAATATATCTTAATATTCATCCAACGAGATAAACTACACACGGTCTAAAACAACTCACCAATCAGCGCCACAACATGCCGTCCGTAACAATGGCTAAAAATGAACCCAAACGTGGCTAAAGGTAGCATTTGTGAAATTTCCAATTATATATGGGAAGCTAAAACTTTTTTTATCTCCCCATATATACCAGGAAGTCAACAGTGGAGTTAATTAAACAAAACAGAAAAACTTTAATCTCCCGAGATAACACACGAGAAAATTGGCGCAAATACAGACATCAGCAGTTGCATTCGGTGACCGGTTGGTGCAGCAGTGAGGGACAAATTATTTTAGTTACAGTACACCAGCAAAGATGAATGTTAGAGAGCAACATCAAAATGAAAAGGCAACAGACATGCAAACATTAGCAGAGACCCAGGCAGGGATAAGAAACTGTTATTGTGCAAAAATTAAAATGCACCTTTAAAAGTGCTTTTACAGCTTTCAATACGGGGTCAGCAAAAAGCAGATATAAATAAAGTGTACCTCTCCAGCTCATGCAGGAAGGCAGTCTGGAGGAGGATAAATCTGCATTTGATGAACTGTACAAAGTGTACCGTAGCTGCCATTCCCTGCACTTCTGCAGTTGGTCACAGATATGTTTCTGTTTGGATTTTAACTTCATATGAAGTGATAGTGTAGACAACAATCCTTTTCAGTCTGGGTGAACTACAATCATGATGTACAACTGTTTCAACAGGATGTGACGAAAAAAATATTTTAAGAAAGACTATACAAACTGCAGTTTTTAATTGAATCAGCAATTGTGATGAGATACAGTATAAGCTACATAAAACTTTATCTGTAGTCCCCACTAAAGTTGAGATTTTAAAATACATATGGGAAATTCAGTCAAAACCTTTAACGTCTTCTCACCATTAGTTAACATTTTTATATCAAATTTACCAATCCGACTCACTAATGTTTAAAGACAAATCTCTACAGTTAGACTAAGCTTTTTGCCACAAATTATTACTGCAGTTATGAAGCAACATTAAAAGGTCCCTTAGAATAAGGCCACTTTGCAAGTACAATTTAAAATCATTTAATGACATGTCAAGACTTGAAAGTGCCTGTTCATGGCAAGCACAGCAGTGTCTCTAAACTTCAGACCATGTTGTGTATCACTTTAAGTAATATTTTTTAAAAATACATTACACCAGTTTGCCCTTATAGAGTACACATTGGTCTACACTTGACTAAATATATATATATTTGCTATTAACAGTACTTAATTGGTTCCTGGTGTAAATTCCGTCTGTTATAGATTTTATGTGAAAGAGGAAGGGATTAGAAGAAACAAAGAAGAATTGTCTTATGATTTAAATATTTAACTTTATAGTGCACTTAGGACATAAAGTGTAACGTCTAAAATCAATAAAATGTTTGATATACACTTTAAACATTTTTAATAGTGTTAAAATCATGTTCTCAGTCTAGGCCTCAGGGTTTTTTGGGGGAAGGGGTTTTTGTAGGAAGTAGTATTCATCATGATTTATAGTGGACAGAAAAAAATAAGCTTGTGGTCTCTTAAAAGTGTCTTCTATTATTGCACATTTTTTATTTTCTGGAAGTAGTAAGTGTGTTGTCAATGCATGACTATAGTCTTGTGTAGGAACTCTTCTCTAGATTTGGAATGTTTGACACTTTAAGCATTAGCGTAAAAGCTGAAGCAGATCTCTGTTTTTCTAAGCTGTATTGGTTTCAAGATCAGCAGAAAAGAACAACTTAACACAAATATTAGTAGAATATAAGTTGAGCGTGAGTGCATTTCACTCATTGCACTCGTATACGTTCTACAGAAGAACACATAACAAGAATCACCTCCTCTTCAGCAGATTTCTGAGGTTGTCATCCTAAAATCTGGAGATTTTTAGATCACATCATTTAAGGACTATATCCGTCATCTTTGCAGACCATCCCGACGGCCCCGAGTCGGCCGTCTACTTAAAGGTTACTGAAAACCTCAACAAAACAGCTTCTTCGTAGAAAGTGTTCCATCTCAAAGCTGAGATAGACAAATGAATCATCTGTGGCTCTGTAATCTTCAAACATCATCTCCACTGTCTGAAGCACCAGCACCAGAAGCACCAAATGCCGTTTTGAAACTTTTTTTTCTGGCTGTTTGCTGGGAACTTATCCAATTCTGAGCCTTGATTCGAATCAGGTCTGTTTTTTTTTTAAAGCATTATCAACTGCTACAAGAGTTGTGACCCTTTGTTCCAGTCTGTCTCTTTCGTATTTTTTCCTTCTATGTCAATAGGAACATCCTCTTGAGTTGGCTTGAAGAACTCTAAAGACACTGCTTCTTTTCCTGTGTCATTACTTTATATAGCAAGATTTCCAACTGTAACATTTGGAAGTATCAGCAGGTTCAGGGACTAGATGACACAGTCGTCCTTATTCCCCTTCCAGCAGTGTTTGAACCATCCACTCTCTTCGACCTGTCCAAGGTCTTGCCTCTCCAACTTTGCTGCTCAGGAGACGACAAGCTATCTCCAACGTCTCCACTTTTGAGCAGCAGATCCTTCTCTCCTCCACCTGCCTTCTGCTGCCTTTTCTGACTTTCGTCCTGTCCAGCTCTTCTTCCACTCTTGCTGTCACTCTTGTAATTGTTTTTTTTTCTCACGGTCTCTCTCCTGTTACTTTCACACAGTGGTGTTTCGGTTGTAGCAGTGGAAAACGGTTATCCGTGTTTTTTATTTGTTACTGAAGAACTATGCTTGACACAGGCCTAGCATTTTTCCAGCAATCTGTAAAACACATACGCATTCAATGTATAAACAAATTGTGTTTTTAACACAGTAGAGAGTAGAGTCAAATTGTACACACATTACCCTAATATATATGAAGTACACAAGGCCAGGCAGTTGCAAAATTAATTTAATTTCTTATGGGTTTTCAAAACCTTCTTTTCAAGAAGAACGGAAACTGCTGGCATTATAAGTCCGGTTTTAATAGGCTCATTCATTCATACAGGGTCCTGTCAAATCACCCCCTGGTGCCAAACTACCTCTGCCATTCTACTAATATGGTCTGTGCCAAACTACTCTATTAAGCACATTGAGTCAGCCAAATCCACAGTGGAATTTCTTACCATTTAGTACTGGGAGAGTCCAGTCACACCACCGTGCTGGTACGCCCGCTCCCCCTGGTAGGTGGAGTCCTGGGACAAAGCCACATCAATCTGGGATTTGAACTCATCTCCCAGGTAACTGTCCTGTAAAGGATAAACAGAAAGAAAAAGAGGCCAGTCAACAGTTGTTCAGTCACTTTCCAGATGGGAAAGGATTAAGTGGTTTTTAAAAAAGTTAAAGGTTTCAGTGGAAAACTGGACGACACCTTGGAACATGTTGGCAAATGATTCTTTTTTTAAATATTTGTTGTACAAGCTTCAAAGTTCGCCTCGTAAGTACTTCATAAAATCCCATGAATGTTTCTTTTATGAAATGGATTAATTCACAGTGAATGAAAGTGCGGTGAACCAACCTGGGAGAGTTCAGGCTGGGAGAGTCCAGGCTGACTCATCTGTGATGGTTGGCTCATGTTGATGTAGCCTTGTGTAAGAGGGCCCTGGGAGAAGGACTGGGAGCCCAGGTCTTGGCTGGCCTGGCTGCTGGTCGTATGTCCTCCATGCCTGCGGTCCACACCTCCATTTCCCCCATCATGGTTACCTAGGTGGCCGCGGTTCCTTTGTCGGTTACCTCTAGTTCCACCTCCACCTATACCTCCACCTCCTCCTCCTCCTGTGCTACCCAACTTGCCCTTCATACCTCCACCACGACCTGGGCGACAGAAGAACCACACATCTCAGAAATGTTTGCTGGCAGAAAATATGCAGTTAATATCCAGGTTTGTAATTTCTCACCTCCTGAAGAACCGTTCATATGGCTCATGTAACCAGATGGTGGCATGGGAGGCATCACAAGGTTGAAGGGAATGGGTATGTTCATGTTCATGGAATTAGGGCCTGAATTAATCATGGCAATCTGGTCATGGGTTTGAAAATATATGTTGGAGATTCGCCCTGAAATAAAAAGAAATAAATCTTACTTTAGAAAATGTTTAGTTTGCACAGAACTACAGTGGTTTTGATAGAAACTTTTGTAAGAGCAATGGGAAAGGGTTAGGAAATGAACAGAAATATTTGTTGTAAATTGTGATTGCAAAGTAAAGCTATCATCCAATGTCAGTACAGTAAAAAAGTCACATTTGTCACTGTCACTATGTTCTTCTGGTCAAAACCTGAGACCCGAGGCTGTTTTTAGGAGAATGATTACTAACAGTAAACGTGTATATTTTCTTACCAACTTAAATACATTTACAGAAATGTCTGAAACTACAAACATCCAGGGCTTCACTGAAGACAATGGAGTGCTTCTGTCTATTTCCTTCAAACAGTTTGTCATTTAAAACAAACTAGTAAAAAGGAAGGATCCACATTCACATTTTTACTCATGAGAGAGATTTTCTTCTCTCAAAATGTCTCACCATTGCTGCTGCGATCATAAACAGATCCTGGAATAAGGGCCTCCCTGGCATCATACATGGTGGTGCTCATGAACCGGCCTCCCTGAGAAACAGAGAAAAGATAAAAGCACTGTAAGATCACACGTAAATACCACCTCTATATTAAATAGACAGGCTTCATTTGTGGTGAATAATTATATTTCATATTGTACATAAATCTCATTAAAAGCACACAATTAGTCCAAAAATTGTGTTGAACAAACAGACTAAACATACAGGATTGATGGTGTTGACCAATTTGCGAGGTTTGCTGAACTGCATTAGGCACTCCCTCAGGTTGTTGAGGGGGCCTTCGACCAGGACCTTCTGCTCCTTGTAGTAGTTGAGGAGGTAGTTCCACAAGGGTTGTTTAGAAAGAGCCTTTGGGTTCCCCACAATAATCACACCATACCTGCAGGACATAAAAAGTAATGATGAATAAAATGATACCTCACAATAGTAAGGAAAGAAAGTGAATTAAATATTAAAAGTTTTTATTTTTTTAATTTTTTATCACAGTCATGTTACCTGGCCCTGGTGAGTGCCACATTTAGACGTCGGGGATCGTTCAAGAAGCCGATGCCCTGATGCTCATTGGCTCTTACACAGGAGAGGATGATGAAGTCTTTCTCTCTGCCTTGAAAGGCGTCCACACTGGCTATCTCCACCTCCTAGGTAATCAATAAAGTGAGATTTAATGAGCCTTAAAAAACTATTTTAGTATTTTAGTATTTAATATTTTACCTGATAGAGCTTGGTATGGAGAGAGCCACTAAACTGCATGTACTGGACCAGGTATGACCTCTGACCCTCATATGGGGTAATGACACCAATCTGATCAGGTTTAGCTCCAGCCTTTAACAGCCTTGTGGTTATTTTCTCCACATTTGCTGCCTCTGTCCTGCAGGAAAATATAAGTTTGTTTTGCAATGAACATTTTTAAACTCAGTGACTTTTTATGTGAATAAAGGGTGACGAAAAAATGAATAAACATTAAGTTTAAACCTGTTCAGATACGATGTTCCAGAGCTGGCAATTTCCTCTTGGCCTTGTGTAACATAGAAGAACATTGGTTTGTCCGGCTGCGGCCACTGAAAGTCAAAGCCTTTCTTCATACGGTCAGCTGGTACAAGAACAAACAAAAAAGTAATGATTACATTTTGGCGATAAGTATGGATGAGTCATTTACTTTTCCCTAAAATAGGAATATCAAATTTAATTGTCATAACTGATTTGGTGTGGGGTTAAAGTGATAGTTTATCTTACCAGCAGTGACACCATTCTGCAGTGAGCCTTCATAGAAGATGTTGGAGGGAAAAGCGCTGAGCGCTGGATGCATGCGGTACTGCACCTGCAGACGAATGGGCCGTATCCCGAGGACCACCAGCCGCTCAAAGAGAGACTGCGACAGACCTGCTTTAGCTGCTTTCTTACACATCACCACAGGACCCAACTGGCAGTGATCACCCACCAAAATCAACTACAAAAAAAAGTATGCAGATAATCATGGAGTAGAAAAGGGTGATCTATTATTAGACAGCATATCAGTGTAACAACAAGATCATACTACAGATTAAAGAACATGTTCTAACTTGCTTGGCCCCCAAAACCACAGGAACCATGCACTCTGGTTCTGTGGCCTGTGTGCTTTCATCAATAAGAATTGAACGGAACTGCATCTTGGCCAAACGTGGATCACCAGCTCCGACACAGGTGCAACAGATCACATCAGCATTCTGGACGAGAGAGAGGAGAATAAAGCATTGTCTTGTAAAGCCATGGTCTAGCAGCATTAAAACAGAGATTTATTCTGACGAGTCTTCGTACCATAAGAAGCTCCCTCTCGGCGGTGCGCCTTAGAGCTCTGTATCTTTTCTCATCAGATGAAGATAACTCTCCAGTCTCATCCTTCAGCTGCTGGAGCTTCTGAAGCTCAGGCATACTGAATATTTGAATAATTTTACAAGGGATTAGTCTACTACAGGTAACAACAAGTCTGGAATTATTGTAAACAATCAGTGCCCGTTTTTGTTCTTCTCATTATTTTTGTCTATTACAGTATGCTATATCATCATCACGTCAATCAATTTTTATACAGTACTTTATACACAAAAACTACTAAATCCGGACTCTATAAGTTCTCTATAAGGATCTGTTTCAGGTTTAGAGAGTTGTCTTTGACATGTAAGTTACCTGTCCATGTTTCGTGTCTGGTTGTGCAAGGCCAGAAAAGACACAGGTGAGTCAATGGCTTCTCTGCTTTTAGCACAAAGTCTCACCACCTTCAGTCCTGTCTGATGGATCTTCTCAGTCAGCTGGTCTACAGCTATGTTACTGGGAGCACAAACCAGCACTGGCCTGGAGAGACAGAAGACATACTGTAGTGACAAAGAGGTGAGCTGCAAGTGGAGTTATTTAGTAAAAATACAAAGAACAGGTCTGAGTGTGCAGAGTGTGGAGAGATGACATGATATTATATTCAATACATGAACCTTAAGTTCACTTAAGGATATATATCTACCTCAGCAAATATATCAAGAGGTACACCAAATTTCAAGTTTAATTCTGGTCCACCTCAAACTCACACACCAGAAACAATAGGATAAAAAAGTAAAATTCTATCAGGCGTTTCAAATTCTTAAAACAACTCCAGAAGTACAAATACCCTTACCTAAAAATAAAACAAAAAAACCCCCAAAAACTTTTTACCCCGTCTGTGTCTTACCCATTACCCTGTCTGGCCAAGTGGTAGACGATGGTGGCAGATGTTACCGTCTTCCCTGTGCCAGGTGGTCCTTGGATCAGACTCAGGGGGCGCTGCAGCACCGTCTTCACAGCATACACCTGCACCACAAGAAAAGAAACCTTAACAACAGACTAAACATATAATATAAACATATATACTGTATATACTGTACATGCATTTCAATCATCATCCCTATAACTGACCTGTGAGTGGTTCAGATCAGGCAGTCCCTGAGCTGTGAAGCGTTTGGGCAGCTGACATTTGATGACCACGTCTTCCACCTCGTGTCCTAACAGTTTGTGGTAGATGTAACCTGACACTGAAGTCTCATCCACTGCAAAGGTCTTCAGGGCACTCTGCATCCTGGACAAAGGGGAATAGGAGTGAGGAAAACAGATTTCTTAAATTTATATCAACATATAGTACATACAAATAGCGTTTTGCTTACAGACCAGAAATTGATTTTTCATGTGAAAACACAACAGTGCAAATGTGTTTTTCTTATGAGTACCTGTCAAACGAGGTGGACTTCCAGACAAAGTCTACCTGAAAGTTGTGAGGGATCTCCACTGGTGCACCGGCACTGCTCCTCAACTCTATGGCAATCTCATCACCATAGTCTGGTACAGTAATGTTAGAAAAAGTAGATTCTAGAACAAATCTGCTAAAAGCACTGTGTTTACCACCTTATAGTTTGAGATGAATTATGCTCTGAGTTAATACTTCTTTGTTCTTCTGTTATCTGATGAAACTATATATGTAAATTGATAAAACACACATATTTACCCTTCTCTCACATTCTTGTCATTGTTAAATTAAAAAATAAAGATCAGTTCTTAAGATGGAACAACCATTTTTTGTAGTTTTCCCAAGCTGCCACTAGAGGGCACTGATTAAACATCTACATGTTTCATTATAATTAATTACATAAGTTGATATTGATCTTCACCCCCTAATGTCACGATTTGGCCATATTACATTTTTTGATTTAGAGATAAAGATACTGTCTGGAACTTTGATGACGTGTCCGATGCCTTTCCATGGCGGAGCCAGGTCTCCTTTGTACCTCAGGCAAATTTCATCTCCCTGCATAAGTCGCATATCTGAAAGAAAGACACAAATCAGTAATCATTTATTACCTGATTTGAAGGAAACATTGACAGATGCAATTTAAAAATACGTTAACTCTGTGAGTGAGCAAGAGTGTTATGTATGTGAATTTCATTAAGCAGCAAATGCGTTGCCATGACAGCGTCTCCTCAGATTTATAAAGGTTTACAGAGCAGTAACTGAGATGAACACTTTAAATTCATGTGTTTGTGTGGACAGATCTGTGACTTTTATATCACGCAATGACAACAAAGGGCTTTTGACTCAATCAATTAGTGTTGATGGATGTTGTGGGTGTCGGCCTAAACTATAAATCACTGTGAGAGAATGGTGTCTGAATGTCATGCATGTTTTTAGTTCACAAATACCTGAGTCTGTTTTGGGAAGGGTGAAATAAGCAATCCTCTTTTTGTTCAGTCCCAAATCCCATCGGACGGTGATGTTGTCCTGAGTCTGAAATATATGATAAAGGAAATTATTAAGCATTTAGATTTTCAAGTAATAAAAAAACAAGTTGTTAAAAATCTTCAAGGTAAAATATAGACTTTAGAAATCATGATTTTTTTTTACCTGGGACTCTTTGAGTTTCTTGTCATAGTCCGCTTCCAGCTTCACCAGAGGACCAAAGATGTTCTGGTACTGATACGCATCTTCATATCGGAGCAGGACGTGCTGAGGTTCTTCATCCACACCAGGTTTTTCTAGGTCCTCCAAGGTGGCTGTGGGGTTTTCCTGGAAAGATGGAATTAAAGAGAAGAAAGAAGTTGGTGTAGAAAAGACGTAAACAAAAAAACAGGCACTGCAGCTGTGAGACTGACTGTGAAAGTGATAGTGAAAAGGAAAGAGTAGGTCAACACATGTAGTACATTCATCTGTGTCATACTAAAATGTACAGTATTTACATAAGCCATTCCCATTTACAGGCTTAGGTAGTGTGGCTATTTAAACAGCACAATGATTAGGTGTGTGTGTGTGTGTGAGGCAACAGCTGCACAGGCAGTACCTTCCACAGTTCCTCCAGCTTGTTGATCTGCTGAGCAGTGATCTGTCGGGCCCTGAGCTGCTCCTGCTCTGACGGAATTTTAACCAACCAGGACAGGAAGCAGCGATCTTGAATGAGCGGCTGCCACTGTGAACTGTCCCAGTTGATGTCTTTCAGGCTGCTCTGGCTGGCACAAGGCTGTCTGCGTTACAAGCACCACATGTTAGTGGTATAAAATACCCTTCCCTCGTGCATGGTTAGCTGCTTATACATGACATCACCTGCACAGTAACACCACCACAGAATCAGCCTTGGCGGGGATAAAACCCAGCAGGAAGACATTGCGACAGCCGCAGTTGTAGCACTCCAGCAGTGTTTCCCCCAAGGGACCATCTTTGTGAAGGGTTACCTCCTTGGACTTTGCCCTCACCAGGTGGTTTACAATGTGGCTAAAAGTCAAGAGAATGATCAATATTGGAGGAAAAAACAATTAAAAAAACCTCCAGTGTGATATAACTAGAGCAAGCATACAGTATTCACAATAAAACAAAAACCTCCAGTGTTATATAACTAGAGCAAGCATACAGTATTCTGTTTGCAGAGGGTGTTTACTGGCTTTTTCATAGCATGTTTTTGTCACTGCAAACACCAGTGTTGTACCATGTATATATATATATATATGTGCATCCAATAAATTAAAATGTCCTCAAATATTTTGCTTGATAAAAATAATAAACTTACATGTATTCATCCCTGAGACTCAGGAATCAGAAAATGAGGGAAGATAAATAGAAAATTATTTACTGATAAATCAATGTATCACACCTGCCGGATGTGTTTCCTCGGCCATTACAAAACCACTTCTTGCTGGTATTGCAGTAGACCACACAGGCTGGATCATGAATCCCACAGTAACTACAAAGAACAAAACAAAATAATAACAAAAATAAAAACAATGATTAGGAAAGTGTTACTTTTTTGTCTAATCTATTATAACATACAATGCATATACCAAGAGCCAGACTAAATATATATTCACAAACGTATGTCACAAATAATTTCCAAATGAAACCAACATAAAGGAGAATAACATTTATTTTGTAGTTAATCGATAATGAATTATTTTTGCCTAACCTGCAGGCGTGTATAGGAAGGTCCTTGGTGTAGTAGGCATCCTCCTCATCCTCCTCAAAGTTCAGCTCCGCCAGCAGCTGACTGGCCTTTAACACAGGGTCATCTCCATTCTGCAGCACCGGTCCATTAATCTGAGGACAGAGGATGAAAAGACCTAAAAATAATAATCTGAAAGTCGATACCGACACAGTGTTGAAAAAAGAAAAGGGTTTCAGGATTATGGACTGGCCAGAGTTAGATACACCACTACTGTGTAATCATATATATGGCCTGTTGTCTCAGCTGCAGGGTCAGTAAAGAAATATTATGCTAATTCTTTCTTGATATGTAAGGTCATTTAAAAGTGAATATTCTTGCGTGCCATTATGCCACTAGGACCACAAAAAAGAAGTCTAGTTTTGGGTCAAATTTTCATCGATGTATTCCTCGAGATCAGATTATAATTTATAATCTGACCTCATGTTCTTTATAGCCACACACTGACCTGTATGAATGAACAAACTCACCAACATTTAAATTCAGGGACTGGCAGTTGTTATGGAGATATTCAGAGGCTGTGATAACTGCTGCTGGCTGCCTTACATTCTTTTTACGTCATTATTTGAACAATAATAAAATAAATAAAAAAACATCTCTTATGTCTGACCATTTCAGTTGCAGTAGCCCGCTAACTGTTGGTTAGCATGTTGCTAATGAGCCAGCGCTGTGTCAAAGCGCGTTAACGACAGAAAACGTCATGGACAGAAGTGGACACTGATGTAGTTAGTGTGGTCACGTTCGCTGCAGTGTCACTGTCAACACTGCATCAGGAAAATAACAAATGTCACCCCGTTCCCGCTGCACACACCTGGCTGTCGAGTTGGCTGTGGGTCTGGCCTTGGGTCTGTGTCTGGCTTGGCAGGGTGAAGTCGGTGAAGTCGTACTCGGAACCCTGGGTGTCCGCTCCCAGCAGCTCCGCTTCCTCCGTGTCCAGGAACGTCAGAGTCTGTGAGCTCGGCCCGTACGCCTCCACACTCATGTCTCTGTCTCCGTTCTACCCGTTAAAAACAACAGAATTCTGCAAACTGCTGATGCCTTGGTTGTTATTCTGGCAGCAAGTGAATAACGGAGACGGGAATGGATGGGGAAAATAATAAACAATGGTGCGTGTGAGCGCGTGTGACAGGGAGTGAGGCTCGACTGCGGCTGCGTTCCCTTCGTGTCGTCCGCCCGCTTGTTATGTCTCCTTCGCGCCTTCAGGAAGTCACCTGCTGGAGATGAGGGAAGGAAACAAGGAGACACAAGGTCAAAGCTGGTATTGGTATGATACCACCTGGACCCACATCCTAGGTTGGGGTGTTCCAGGAATGTCAACCAGTATATAATATATCACTGATTGGCCACAGCAGAAGTAAGACATGTGACTTCTTCTTCCTCTTCTTGTTGATTAGTTCTTCGTTATATAACTTTAAAAAAAAAGTAATAAAGTGTTATTTTAAAAATAAAAAAAATCTTCTTCCTCTTCATCTTTTTCAATCATACAATTACAACTTCTTATTGGGATGGCAGAACAATTACAACATTCTATTTAGTCATTCAGTGTTGTGCTCAATACCTTCCTTTGTATAAAAATTAGGTCAGCATCACAGTTGTCAGCCCTCTAAGAGGGCTATTAAATACTTAATTGTTTGAATTATCGGTTTTCCTTTCAACGCACCCATTTCTTCAACAAAAAAGTTATTGACTTTAATTTTCTGAGAACATCATGATCCTTATTTCTTCCTTTGAATCGTCCAAACCAGTTCATCAGGTGTGTTTATCCGTGACCTACAAACATAACCTACCTGGCACTTAAACTAACCCTAATTAAAAAAAGATATTGAAGTCTTGTTCATGTTCCCTGCCTCCTACAGTTACTTACTGCTACATAAAAATACTTTGCTATTATTTACCTAAAAAGCCTGTCAGCTGTAGACCTATTTACTGCCCTGCTCTCAGTGGTGGTGGTCTGAAAAAATAAACATATTGTCAGAAGAAACAATTAAACAACAAATAAAAGAAACTGAAAACTGATTGTAAAGAGTAAAATTAACACATTTCTAAAAGGAGTGTTTTAATACACATTTTAGCAGACACATACATTAGGTTAATCAATCTACAAATATTGTGTTGTAAGTGCAACATATTCCCTGAGATTAACAAACAACAATAATAAGTGCCAACGAGTTATTTATGATACAATTAAAAGAGTGGAGACATAATCTTAAGGAAAACATTATTGTGATTTAAATATGAAGAGTTCTTCGACTGACAGGGAATGATATAATGTTCATCATGTCGTATTAGTATGGTTGAGTTGGGAATCATTTTCACAGACTAATACACAATCATCAGCATCTTTGCTGTTGTTGATGCTTGTGATGACACTGTTCTTCATGTTTATGTTCCTTCTCCTCAGTACAGTTCTGAGTCAGCACGTCCAGCATCTCCAGTATGACGGCCTTCAGGGCTCGGCCCAGGTCCTGACTGCTGTAAGGCTTTCCTAAAGGAGGCACGTGGATAAAGGCGCAGCGGCGATGCCCCAGGTACAGAGATGTGTAGTAGGTGTAGTCACACAGATACCTGAAAGAGGAAAAATGAAATAACAGAACTGTGTACATTTCTTACTATCTAATTAGTATTTGACAAAGGAAGTGAAAATCGATATGACAAGTTCTGATAACATTATTGCAGAATAAATTCAAAAATAAATCTAATTATACACATTTAATACACAAATGTTGTTGTTTACCTTCCAGCATCCTCAGATACAGACAATGCCACACCGAGGTCGGAGTCGTTGACATGTTTACAGACTACATCCATGTCCAGCACTGACTTTATGCAGTCGGGTCCATTCTCCATGCAGCACTGAGAGGTTGGACAGAAGCTGCAGTTGTCCAGTCGTTTGTAACCTCTGTTGTGGCCGCACTGCTCTAAAGTGACTGTGGTGGCGATTCCAGAAACACCAACGTGAACCACTAACTGTTCAAAAAAACACATGTGTAGAATAGTTTCATTTGACATTTTTCATCATTTTACAGTTTAATACAGAAGTGTGTATTTTCTACTGGTGTAATACTTGTGGCTGGAGCTCCTTCCACAGGGACGGCAGCATGTTCTCAACAGCCTTGTATTCAACAGGAACCTCACATACATGAAGGTCAACATCTTCACCCAGCCCTAATCGCTGCAGCTCCTGTGAGCAAACGCACAGGCAAAAACACTGATGTTCTTGGTGTTGGAGACAAACACTGAACACCCTTTATTTGTAGTCTTTGGTGTAATGTGTAAAACTTGATATTAATTACCTGCACTGCCACCCAACTGGCGTTAACTGCATGGTCTCCAAAAGGCTCAAAACCTGTCAAAACAACATGGAAAAGGATGACAATGATTTACTGCAGCATTTGTGCACATTGCAAAATGGGAATTATTATTAAAATCACCAGGGATACTTTATCTTTCTTGGAAAACTGAGATAAAGCAAAATGTAAAGTAACTCGGAGTCTAAAGGTTGGCTCAAGTTAAACATTAAATGACAGACATGACAGCCAGGTATCTTTGACTTTGACTAAATAGCAATGCTATTCAGTATTTAATGCATAATTTCCCGGTCTTTACTTTTAGATAAATATAATTTTATAATAATTCCAATATACTTATAAACTCGTGTCTTACAATTACCAACGTAGTTTATTAACTAACATTTGTCTGATGCAGGGGTCTGTCCAGACGCAGGAAGAATACTCCTTACTGTGTACCAGCGCAGTAACGACATCAGATTATTATCATTTCACACTTAATTCCTTTAAAATAAACGTCTCACCTGTGACTACGACTTTCTTCTTATTGGCCATGATCCACAGATCTTTAAACCACAGCTGTCATAGGTTTAAACCCCCAACGACCTGTGTCAGAGAGATTGTTTACTCTAGATTCTCTGCGGCTGACTGCTGTCTTCTTCTGTTTCGCGTCTCTCAGGAAACGTGGATGCATTATACTGCCATCTACTGGTCTGGTAGGCATACGTCCACTGCAGTTTTCGGAAACCTTCGCTGGTCTATTTTACCATTTCATGATTTGTAGACCTTAAACATTAAATTTGTGTTTTCAATGAATGTTCAGTGTAACATTTAGGTTACATTATTTCATATAATAATTGTATTGGACAAAAAGGAGATTAATGATGCATTTGTCAGCTTGACTTTTCTCGTTCTGTTAAACATTATCATATGTAGAGCTTATCTCAATAGAACCACCTCGATTACAGATTTTTGAGAGATTATAGATGCATATTTTAATTTGCATAATATGTGAGTGTGCCACACAGGGCAGTGGACACATTTGGTTCACTTTAGTGAGAGAAGTAAAAAAAAAAAAAAAGAAAAAGAAAAATCAGAAGAAATTCCAAGAGGCCAAAAGTGAAAATAAGGTGTTTATGTGACACAGTCCATTGTTTGTGCTACATAAACACATTTCATTTATACCGTTCCGACTCCTCATGCCTAATCTGATAACGCCTCATAAAAAGAGATAATTTTCTTTCATTTCTGATTCCACTTGTTTATTCTCACAGCAGCCCACGCCCAGGGTTTGCAATATGACTCACATTCTGGACTCAGGATGCTGCGTGGTTACAAAACTACATGGCACTGAGAGTTTTTTTTTCCTTTTGGAAGAAAATAATATGAGGTGAACAGTCAGAAAACCAAATCTTGGTCTTTACAGTGGAGCGTTTAAAGGATACTTCACAATGTCACTCCTCCATACACACAAAGTACACAACAGAGCAGCCTCTGATTCTCCTCCTACTTCAACTCATTCACCCCCTCACTTTCTCTCCCCCTCTCTCTTCTTCCCTCGCTTTCCTGCTTGCGTCACTGGCTGTATTGGTGTTGCCATGGAAACTAATGATGCGCTCTCTGTTCTTTGGTGCTGATGCAGACAGTCTGCTGACGTCTTCTCTGTAAATGGGCAGAATAACAACATTCTCCAAGGGTTTCCACCACTTGGCCAGAATCAGTGTCTCCTGTACTGCTGCACTCTATTCTATTCTATTCTATTCTATTCTATTCTAGGCATTTTAACATTTTTTCCATTTAAAGCAGCCATGTCCACAAACCAGAATCAGAAGCACAGATTGATCACGAGGTACTATTTTTAAATCACAAAATGTTTTTCAGTGTTTGTCTGTCAAATGCATTGTACCTTTTTCAACATGACAATATATGCAGTACGTAAGCAATGCAATGTTTTTTAGAAACATTTTAATCCCAGCTATATACGCCTGTGTGTTGTGTGTGTGTGTGTCCGGTTTTTCAGGCCTTTCATCTTTTGGAATGATTGATTGATGACAGCCTCATTCTAGTGTCCCTCTGTCTTCTTTTCTCTTTGAGCTAAATATCCCTTTAAGCATTTTCAGCTGGAGGTGATGTAAGACCTCATCTCCCCTCTATCCTCGTGTTTGTTTTTTGGAAGGCTAGGACTGTAGTAATCCCCAAAGTCTCAACAAGTATTTAGTGTGTTGTCCTGTCAGTATCTGTGTGACAAACCTACTGTAATATGGCACACACATTTCCTGATCTGGCTCTGTAGTGGTTCAGGGCTGCCTTTCAGTCTCTGGTGTTGCCATTTAGTAGGAGAATAATACCAAACATACCAACATACCTTCTATGGCAGGCTTTAAAATTGACAACTAGTAGTAGTGACTAGTAGTGTAATAATTTAGGCTACAGTGTCTAGTTGTTCTGTATGCAACTCAGGGTTTCCTTTTCCGATTTACCTAAATACGTTTGAATAAATAAAGAAATCTTTCCAGGGCTGTTGGGTGTTAAAGCAGCGTGGGTTTCCTTAAAAACGTTTGATTACGGGTTACCCACGTTCTCCTATACAGTCGTGGAAACTAATAGTATCCAACATGACGAGAAGTCTTTTTCCTGGTTTTATGGTAACATATTTTAAACTTAAAAACACAAGGAAGGGTTAGTTTAAGACTCGAGGACACCGCCGTAGATCTTACATTCTTTTCTGTTCCTTCTTGTAAAGGTCTGCGTTGGAGGAATCTTTTCTATAGGGGCTGTTTTACTCTGTTCCTCCTTTCTTTGGCTTTCGCCTCCTGCACCTTCCTCCCCGCCCAGACTCTGCTCTCTCTTGGCGACCCTGAAGCTTTTTTATGCTATGACATCAAACCACAATGCATTGCACTGTTTGTAGTTTATCCCGAGTCTCCATGGCAATAAAGACCGGCTCGGCCCCTTATTCAAATTAAACCGGAAACCAACGTCATTTCGGGCCAATCTGCGCGCTCTAGAGTGACATAATGGAATTTTTAGGGATAGAAAGCGAGCGAGAGTCTGGCGCTGCGCATAGCAGTCGTGCCATCGGGAAAAGACAATTTGAGAGCCGAAGAGCCGAGGAGCTCTGCCACAACAACAGCTGGATGGTCCACTGACAGAGTGGCGACATTTAACACACTCACACAGACGCGCAAGCGCGAAGGATAAGCAGGAGCGGAGTCTCATCAGATAAGGATCAGCTGATTTCCTCATGTTTTGGATGGATCTGGTCCACGTTTGTTAATGCTTAACGCTCAAAAGTCCCTGGAGTGTAGGGTGTAGAATGGAAACAACCCTCCCAGGCACCGAGGTCAACAGTCCGAGGGTTTCCAGCGCTTATTCTCATAGCACGATGATGAAGAAGGAAATTAATCTGAACCTGGACGAGCAGAACTCCGAGCTTAAATCGAACCCGCTCCGAGACGCAGACGGACTTCTCAACTCTCCAGACTTGGCACTGTTGAAACTTACCTCTCCGGACCTGGAGCGTCTCATCATCCAGTCCAACGGCCTGGTCTCCGCCAACACTCCCAGCAACACTACCGGTAACCCGACTTCCCAGTTCCTCTACCCGAAGTCCGCCAGCGAAGAGCAGGAGTTCGCCGAAGGGTTCGTGAAGGCTCTGGAGGATCTTCACAAGCAGAACCAGCTGAACGACGCGGGCTGCGTCTCTGTGGACAGACTGGAGCTCCTGGCTTCTTCTTCAAACGTAGTCGGATCCACCGGGCTCCAGACGTCAGACCTTCCGGTTTACACCACTCTCACCGGGTATGCGGCCAGCCCGCTCGGAGGCACAACCATTAACTACTCCACGGACACCATCCCATTTCCGCCGCCTCCGTCCCATTTGGCCAGTGCGCAGCAGCAGGCGGCCGCTGCGGCAGCTCTGTCACGGCTGCAGTCCGCCGGTGTGGTCAAGGACGAACCTCAGACTGTCCCAGACATGCAGAGCTTCGGGGAAAGTCCTCCCCTGTCTCCCATCGACATGGACAACCAGGAGCGCATTAAGGCGGAGAGGAAGAAGCTGCGCAACCGGATAGCTGCCTCCAAATGTCGCAAACGGAAATTGGAGAGGATCTCCAGGCTGGAGGACAAGGTGAAGACCCTGAAGACCCAGAACACTGAGCTGGCCTCCACAGCCAGCGTCCTCAGGGAGCAAGTGGCTCAGCTAAAGCAGAAGGTGATGAACCATGTCAGCAGTGGATGTCAGCTTTTACCAAACCAGGTCCAGGCTTATTGAATTTCTGGCTTTATGGTGGTCTTGTAATGTCCCGGTGATGTGTGTGTGTGTGGAGAAACAGTGGCCATGTGAACCTTAAACTCCTCTGTAGAGACTTGTTGCGGTGCCAACCTCAGATACAAGGCAGTAGGAGAAGCATCTGGAGATGTTTTCTCAGCAAAGGTCCAGGTGAGAACTGCGGGTCAACTGAAAAAGACAGCAGCAATGAAAGACTAGCTGTGGCCTCCTCAGATTCAGGAAGATGTGGCAGTGTTATGCAGCAAATCTAAGGTGTGGGGCTTATTTTTATTTTTTTTTAAACAGGTCCTCATGTAGCAAAATAGTGCTATCCATTTGAGTGACGTCGGATGGTGTGACTTTGTGCATTAAGCTGGACAATTTCTCAAAAAGAGAGTGCAACCAAACACCAGGGTGTCACCCAAGGCTGGCACCTACTGACTAATGAAACGCCTTACTTGTTTACAAGCACCTAGCAATGACAAATATATATATATATATATTTTTCTTTACCGAGACATTTCTTATTTGATGTATGGTCTTATCTCTATTTGTTTTTTCTTTCCTTTCCTTTTTTTTTTTTTTTGCCAAAAATTGAACTCTGCATGTCTTGTTGCTTTTGTGTACAGTTGCAATTGTATTTTTCAGGATGGTGGTTGGTGCTGTTCTGGTTCTGCAGGACACCAATGTCCAATGATGTATGTCTACATTCTGAATAACCATGTTTATCTATGTGTAATGGACTTTCAAGTCTCTCCCTGACATTTATTAAAGTCACTACATTACTTTAAGAAATACATGTTCTTTTTTTCATTTTTTTTTTACTGCAGAGCATGGAGCTATGCTTGTTTTACCACATTTTTTTCACACACAGTTGAAACTTTGGGGGTCAGAGTAAGAGCAGAAGAATAGTTGAACCAAACCATAGATGGTCAAACTACTCCTAAATGCAGAAACCAGGGGATTTTTGTGCCCTCTAGTGGGCACAAAAAGAAAATCAGGTCCAAACCATTTTGGAGACATCACGTCCTCACTGTTCAAGAAATATTGAACAAAGAAATCGACAGTATTTAGAGTTCATTTATTGAATCTTCATTTTAGCAAACGTGACATAAACAGAATTACAGCACAATTCACACAACTAATACCCAACGGTCAGACAAATTCCTATACAGGGGTTATTTTTGACAGAGAGGGAGGAAAAATGTGAGAGGTTTGATGCATGTTCCTGATTCGGCATGAAATAAACTAAATAAATTAACAGAAGGGATAGGGAGAAATGATGCAAAAGTTACTTTTTAATGTTTAAGTGTTCAAAATATTCTGTCATTTTCTGAGCACCACCAGCCACGTCTCTCAGGGAAAGTCTGTACAAATGTGTGTCGAACCACTTTTTGTTTCTCATCCTCTTCAGTTCAAACCTCTTTGGAAAGAACAACTAGGACTTCCTTCACACACACACACACACAAACAGTCCAGTCCAGAACAGTATGTTACGAACCCTGAGCAGGGTTGTATGATACTGATATTTGGGTGTGGAGAAATAACTGCTATTGCTCTACAAAAACAGTCGACCTTTGAAACCACCATGTCTTAAAAAGTTACATAACTGGAATTAAAAGACAAACAGACTTCCCTCCAGAGTTTGTGGACATGATAAGAAGCTTTCAAACTGGAATGTTTCATTTCCCCCCTTGAGGAAGCGTTGAAATGTCTTGCTCACTGTAAACCCAGCATATAAAAGGCTGAAATTAAAATAAAAAAACAACAACAAACAAACAAATTCATACAGAAGATAGAAAAAACAATTTGTAGAGACTGGTAGGGTAGTTTGTATTTTGGTTTGTAGCCTTTTCTTAAAATTAAAAAAAAAAATGTTGTAGGGTGGAGTAAAAAAAATTGTAGATGGCAGTAGAGTAACTCTGCCATTGAAGTGGGCTGTTTCTCTTGTGTAACATGACAAGTTAGTAGTGCTTCCAACATGTAGTTATGCATAAGTTCTGGTGCAACATTGTTAAAGGTGCACTGGTTGCACACACACGGGCCAGAGCAGCGTTAGCTGAGCCTGTCCTTCTGTGATTAACAACTGACATATTTTCCAAAAATCAGGGGGGAAATCATGAGACATGAAGGAGGACTAATTGAATGTTCTCATCACAAATAAAAAATATCAACCGGTTCATTATTTTATGAAACCATAAAGAAGTACTGGTGACTGAGATATGCTTTGTTTTAATTTAAAAAAAAAAAACTCCTGCAGCAAACTAAACATTTCAAAAAGTATAAATAATACAAAATAAATAAATTCTGATTTCAAATAACTTAAAAATATTTTCACATGCCTCATTACATTTGTTTTCAGACGAATCCTTAACCATAGCATCAACCCTCTCCCCAAAATAAAGACGGAAATATCCAAAGTTTCATACTTTCTGGAGGTTGATGGAGACTGCAGCTCTGTGGTTAACCAGGGTTCACGCTCAATCATATGCCTTTCTAGTGAGCACATGGTGAAGTGAATGCAGTCAGAGAAAGTTAATACTAAGGGCCTTAAAACAGAAGGGCCTGGAGCCTCACTTGGTTCTGAAACAGTCTGACAGATTGACATCTCTCTCTCTCTCTCACACACACACACCAGTCAACCAGCACTGGTCAACACACAAACAACATGCACCTGTCACTAAGACACAGGTTGGGATCCAGTGTCTCTAGGTCAAAAATTGTATTATATTATTTTTTTTATATGCATTTGTTAATATATGTGCAATTTAAAAATGCACAGCTGTCCACTGTATCACATTTATACACCCTTAGCCACGTGGTGAAAGACATCTCTGCCTTTCATAAAGTTTTTGTCTGTAAAACAGTAACAAAAAGTAAAGGTAATAATAGCAATAAAAAAAACTAGCAGCTCTAAATATGATGCAGCTCCTTAAATATAAAACAGTTTTTTAACCTTGAACTATTATGTGGCATAAACTAGAAATCACTGTTACTAACGAGGGCCTAAATATAGGGATATTTGGTGACTTGCTGTTGTTAATGTTCACCAAGTTCAGGTGGTAATTAATAAAACAGCTTAGTAGAACATAGACTGGGTTATTCCACTGCTTACTAGCACAGTCCAGCTGGTCCAGAGACTCACTCTTAGGGGGTTAGTATCAGAACCCTTGTTTATGCTCAAAATATTATTGTAAATACAAAGCAACTGATTCCACTACCAGTACATTGGCACTATACTTTAACAGTTACTTAGTTAACACACACACACACACACAGTGGAATCTATAAATCTTCTTAAAATCAAGGAACCACTTAATGTTCCTTTGACCTTGTCGTTATATTTTGAGCACGTACATAGAAAACAATATAGTCCAAAGAGCTGCACTGACAGGTAGAGATCTTTAACAGCTGGGATGTGACCCTTGGCAGCAGAATAACTTGGTCAACATTCAGTTAAATTATCTTTTTCTGTAGTAGGGATTTGTGGACCTTGAAAAAGGTGTGATATGTTAAACCCACAGATATTTTGGACACACCTGGTCTGGACCATATTCAGTTAAAAATGGATCACTGGGATACAGGAGAGATTTGACGTGCCTAGAACAGACAACAAAAAACATCAACTCTATCCACAGCAACAGTATTATTATCAATGAAAAAAGGGGTCAAACAACAGCAACCATTTTAATTACTGTACGAGGCATTAGTGACTAAGCCCTGGAGGAAGAGGAAGAGTTCTCCCTTCACAACCAGTTACACCCAATCACTGACATAAAAACAGAAATTAAGCTATAATCATGAAGCCAAGACGACACAGAAACTCGGGAATGTTTGTTAGCCGCTCTTCACTCCTCTGACAATACCACTCTCAAATATCTCCTCCACCTCAGGTCAAAACAGGCTTGTGTACTCATGATGAAGTGAGAGGGGTGGAGGATGATAGCGCTCAGGGTGTGTGACTATGTATGGCAGTGTTAGTGTGTTTGATTTTCTGGTCTAAGTGTATAATAAAAGCAGGAGGGACATAAAAAAAACAGCTATGTGTGTGTGTGTTTTTAAGAGAGCAGTCTGTGTGAGATTACCTATATTTGCATTTTGGTGGTGTTTAACAAGCACAATCCTGACTGGTCCTCTGAGGCTGTTCACTGAGCTGTGGCCCCTGTTTGGTTCCGGTTACAGCTGGGTCATTGTTGTCCAGACTCTCTGTCATCCTCTCACAGATGATGTCCACCAGGCGCTCAAACGTCTGCTTCACGTTAATGTTGTCTTTGGCACTGGCTTCAAAGTACTCAAAACCTGCCAAAAAGGATGAAGGAGGTGAACGCAGGTTGTTGTTACGCTTGTCGTTCCAGTGTGTGAAGCTTATCCAGTTAATCCACTTATCTCAGAATGTCAGGAGCCGTCTCTTCACGAGTTTTATACAAGTATTTCAAAAAGAGTGTATTTGTAAGGACTTAAGTGGGGTATTAAAGTTTTAAACTATGAATACATCAACATATTCAGTTTGTCCTCTCATGGAATAATTCTGATGCAAGAGAAAATAAAAACTAAAAACAACAATATACTTGTAAAACAAGGGCTAATAACTGACTTCTTTGTGCATAGAAATGGTTAATTAATTATTATCAACTATTAGCTAACACATATTTACATATACATTTTGCAGGATAAATAAAAAAACTGACATTAGATTTTTTAGATTTCATTCTGTCAATACTGACATCCACCACCTATAGGGACTTGATCATCACTTAATTAAGATTATTTAAATTAATTAAATAATTTTAGGGCTATCTCGTGCAATTTTATTAAGTATTTGTCGTTTTGATCATAGTATTTGTGGCCAACTTCTTATTAAAAGAAACAAAGCTGAGCATTTTTTATTCTATTTTTTAAAATTGAAATGAATATTTTACAAGGGCAGTTAACCTTCCCATTATAAAATATAACATGCTTATTTCTTACACTTACTAAGTATTTTCCTACTTGGATCCAACCAAACACATATGGAAGCGTAAACAGCCGCCGAGACAATTGTGGTTGGTGTCCAGCTCTGAGAGCAGTTGACTTACCGCCGGTTGGCGTCCAGCTCTGAGAGCAGTTGACTTACCCAGCTGCTCCGACAGCTGCCGGCCCCTCTCTGGAGCCACGACTCTTTCATCCTCCATGTCACACTTGTTTCCCACCAGCAGCACCTGAGCATTATCCCACGAGTATGTCTTGATCTGGGTCGACCTGAAAGCCAATACAGAACAGAGTTATTAGATGTACAACACTATTGAGACTAGGAATATATTTTAGGAATGGCTCGATCAAATACCCAGGATTCAAATTTTCAGGTTTGAACATTGAAAGATAAACCTAAGCCAAATTGCTCAACTCCATGATGTAAACAGGGACGCTATCGCCTCACCAATGGCAACCTGAGGCACGCAGGACAAAAGATAGTATCGGACTGATATCGGTATCGGCAAATAGTTGCAGTATCAGTATCGGACATGAAAAAGTTGTATCGAGCCACCCCAATATATTATTTGGCTATAGTTACTTGTTGGTAAGCTGTAAGGACAGGATCAAAGTGACAGCTGTGACTCACATTCTACACCCACAAGCATCTCATCACAAATTCATATGAAATGAGCTACAGACTAGAGGACGTCTGAACAAAAATCAAGGACTAAAAGGGCAGTGCTCTTCTTTCTACAGACACACAAGCCATGCATACTGAGTTTGACCCTCACCAGTCCTGCACAGCATTGAAAGATTCCTCATTGGTGATGTCATACATGAGGATGAAGCCCATGGCTCCCCTGTAATACGCCGTGGTGATTGTCCTGTAGCGCTCTTGGCCAGCAGTGTCCTGTAGAAAGACATAACAGCTTTATTGTAGTCATTCGATGTTGCTTTCATTGACAGACCAAGATAAAAGTTATAGATGCCAATGAAAAACATCTCTGGTATGAAGATATTTTGTTTTTTGCGAGGTCTTCCTTTATCATATCCACCACAGTACAACGAAAGAGCAAAAAAACACAACAGTCTTCTATTGTTTTTCCGGCATTTTGTGTAAACAACTGTCATCTGCACGCAATTAATGGTTGTCCATGGCGCTTCTCGTGATTGGTTTAACACTCAGCTAAACTCCCATGAGCATTAGGTATTCCTCTAGTGTCACATGTAATAAGCATTTGTTCCCAGGGTCAGTCTTGATGGCTAATGTTAAGAACACTTCAAGGGTATTGCTGTTACACACAGATGAAGTGACTCTGGAGAACAGAGAGGCCACTTCACAGCTGGGAGTTATTAAAGATACATGATAACAGAGAATGGCTTAGTCGCAGATGTGGATGTGACGAAGGAGGAACGTAAAAAACGTTTGCAGTGACTGTTTCTCCAGTTTTAAAATTTTAACGCTGGACATTTTCTTTTTTTTAGAAATAATTGTTTGTTACAATAATGGTTATCTGCGACCACATGTTAAATATAATCTAAGTCAGACACAATCAGGCAGTATGAACATAAAGCTAGAGATGCGCTGATTGCATTTTTTGGTCAATTACAAGTTTTCTGGTGAACATAACTTGCCCAAAACTATTTTTGCTGATTCCGATTTCCTTCAATTGGTCAAATGAAAATGTTTTCCAGCACAAAATATTAAGTTGCATGTGGGAAACAAAAGCAAAACTGCTGACTAGATCTTGGTGCTAGTTTACTGTACATACAACTGATAACAGGAAAATAATGAAAAGTAAAGCAGGACAGATAACTTTATTCAAAAGTTCAGAGTTCATTTTATCTCATGGCTTATCCATGAGATAAAATTTCTTATAACTCTCAGAAAAGCTGGCTAACCTTATCATGGAAACACAAGACTATTTGCACTTTAACACATCCATCACTTCCTCACCCAGATCTGCAGCTTTATCCTTTTGTCGTTCCTGTAGATGGTCTTGACCTTGAAGTCAATGCCCACTGTGCTGACAAAGGCTGGGGTGAATGAGTCATCTGCGTAGCGGAAAAGGAAGGAGGTCTTTCCAACACTGCTGTTGCCAATGATTAGGATCTTAAACATGTAATCAAAGTTCTGGTCTGAGGACTCCTTTTGTCCGTATGTGGCATTTGCAGACGCCATCTAGAAAAAAACAGATTTGCATTCTAAAATGTCAGCTGTAATTAATATACATTACCAATCATTTTTAGGCCACATAAAACTTTGAAAAATAAATACAGAGCTTAGTTTTGACAATTTACACTGGTTACTGTATAGTGCATTCAAATGAAGATGTGTCTAAGACAACAAATCATCTGGGGAAATTAATTAGTTATTTTAAATCATTTTATAACTTTTCACAATTTTTTTTTCTATGATCACATTTTGCAGTCACTCAATTGGGAATGTCACCTGATTTATTTTGAGTGTTTCATCTAATACAAAGTCAGCAGTTAGGAACAATTTGTTCAAAATGAAAGGGATACCAAATTTTAAAAACAAATTTAAGACTTTCCATCTCATAGAAATTATTTTTTCAACAACAAAAATGTTGTATCTAGACATTATTATCATTAAAACAAAGATGTAACCTAATTATGCTTGCCCCAAACCTTGCTTCTCCTTTTTACGGGTTGTAACTGCAGCTCTGCAACCTTTGAGTTGAATTGCTGCCCCCTTGTGGTGATTTGCCATAGGTGAAGATTTCCACACAGATGGGTCTCATTTATTTTCAAAAAATAAGTCAAGAAAATGCATGACAGAGTAGCTTCCCTGCAGATAAACATAATCATCATCTACCGTCTTTTCTGTGACCCATTAAAAGATTGACAGTTGCATCTATATAAATATATATTTATTTTATATAGCGGCAGGAATTCCTTTATTCTCCATCTTTAAAGAAGATTAAATCAATTTCTGCTCATGGCTTTGCCTTTACTTTCTGTCACGGGACAAAAAAAAAAAAAAAAAAAAAAAGATTTTCTGTTTTTGCTAAGAGACTGTGTCAATACAACCAACCAATGCAGGCTCATAGCCTTAAGTGTCTCCACCTAATGTCAATAATACTGGTCCAACCAGGCACATATTTACCTCCACCCTGATCACGGTGGGAAGAACGGAAGCTGATGAGCTTAGTGACAGGCTAAGAAGCCACCGAACATTTCCATTCTTTCAGGACAGAATACCGTAGTCACATAAGTATGACCATATGGTTGGTCACAAATTACGTTGATGGTAATGTTTAATTAAAGGCAGAAAAAAAACTGTCCGCTACCGAAAATAATTATCAAAACGAAACGACCCAAATCTTATTTTTTCCCCCGACAGATAGCTTCAAGTGCTAACAGGGACTATATGGCTTAATCGGACAGTGTTGCTTAGGAAAAAAAAACCCAAACGCAGAACAAGGTGCGGTTTCTCTCTCGTGTCTTACTGTTACACTATGAAATTAATTTAAAACAAAGAAAACGAATCAACAAGGGGCTTTTCTGTGTTTTACTGCTTACACAGTAAACCGTTATCATCAGTGGTTAAAGTGACGGCTATGCTAAGCATCCTAGCTATGTCAAATGAAGGTTAACTCTTCTTCATTTTCGGTTAAATTTTCGGTGTAATTATCGCAGGTCAAAGGTAATAAATGATGCAAGCGTCGTCTTACACTTCTTTTGACTTACCACAGCCCCACAGTGACGCATAAGCGCAGGTTTTACCTTATTGTGAGCGTTTTTTTCTCCTCCTTCCTCGTCTACAGCAGCAGCTCCAACTCTGAGCCTCTGCACCTGCAAATGACTGGCCCCGGCAGGAGAAAGACTGACAGGAAAACTGACCAATCAGAGACAAGAGGCGGATTTTAAAAATGGGTGCGTTTTAAGGGTGGTCTTAACGGTAAGTTTATTTTACTTTACTAAATTCATGACATAAAAACGGAATATACTGAGAAAGAAGAGGAACAAGACAAAGAAGAAGAAGAATGGGAAAAAAAATCCAATTTTTTTAAGCCTAAAAAGGGTTACATTTCAAATCGGATATTATATATTATAATTTTAGGAGATATTTGTGAATGGTCATTGTAGGAATTACAAGAGAAATAAATTCAACAATTATCGTTGAGGTTCGGTGCATCCTACCAAAACTTGCTAATTTACTCGTTAAAGTGACGGAAGTTTAGAAATTACTCCCTAAAATGTGTCGCTCCGCTACCCTACTCTTGTGGAACATGAATAAAATAAATATCTTTTGATAGAAGAAAACCGAAATTAAAATAATTACCAATAATGATAATACTGATCCAGAAAAGGTTTATATCTATATCTCTGTTTATAACCTTTAATGATTTTGCTGCTGTTTAACATCCATGAAACTAAAGAAGCTAGTTCGACTGCACAGCGTGAATGCAATAATAATAATAACAGTTTGTGATTTTTTCATACAAAATGTGATATGTGGACAGCAACAGTAAATGTTCAGGCAAAGAAAGCTGATTGAGTTTCTGTACAACAACATGAAGTAGTTCTTAGAAATAAAAGTAGTTATGTCAGTCATAACAATATACTTAATGTATGGACTAAGTAATCAAATAAGGCATTATTTTGTCAGTGTATTTATTCATCTTACCACTTTTCTCACAAACCAGAAGTCAGGTCCGCAAAAAGAGATATATTTTTCTTTATTGGCAAGGCATACAGTTGTAGTTGGAGAGGAGGGAACACACCTGCAGTTAATCAGAGGTCAGATTGTCAAAGCTGCGTTTTCTGTAAAAGAAAAATAAACACTGTTCCAAGGTTACCACTGAGGCTTTTTGATTAAATTATCTTTGTTGCACATTATAACTAAAAGACATTTCCAATCAGCACGTTACTGTAAAACCATTAATTAATAAACAAACTGATTGGATCAGTATAAACAGGAGAGGGGAAGTATCAGAAACCCAGATTAAAAACCTGTACTGTTAATTTTTTTCATTTAAAGACACAAATTCATGTGTATTTTCCTATGTATAATCTGGCAAAAATAAAGAAATTCAACATAAAGGGGAAAAAGAACTTACTGTGTTAAAGGCTTCATGATTGGCCTCTCACACCATACACGTAAGTGTTAAAGCTTTGACAAAAAATAGTTTTTCTTCATTTTTCTGTTTAATCGATAAAATAAAAATAATAAATAAACGATACATGAATCACGTGACCACAATGTACAAAATCACATAATTAGTGACAGACTGAGTAGCATGTCAGTTGAGGCTGTTGTTAGATAGACCTTAGTGTTGAAGGCATCTTTGAGTGTTGGTCAGTCAGAGGCTGTTTATGGCTACAAGAAGGACTGCACATGTCTGCAGTCAGCAAAACAATGAAAACGACAGAGAAATTAACTTCTTATCGTTAAACATTTAGCTATATGTTGATACCATAGACTGTATATAGGAAATTAAAATAGTGAGATGGATGGAAACAGAAATGGTCCCTCTCTAAGTTTGTCATCTGCGAATAGTTACCCTTACAGTTAATGTCCTTATTTTAGTAACATGACATCAGTCTGCAATCCCATTTAATTGGGCATTTTCAATTAAGGTCCATTCTGTTGAGGTTTCTACCAGTGATGTTCCCCAATCCTCAGGGTATATTAATGGGAATATCACTTGGAGTTGAACTTCCTATTAAGAGCCCCTCTAAACAGAAACTTTATCTTCTTCTATCTTCTTGGATATGACATACGTTGAACCAGAAATAAATGACTGAACCATAACAGTCACAATATTCACCTTCAACTGTACTCAAAATTCAGAACTGTAAAAGTATCAGAAAAGGGTTTTACTGTTTTCTGATTATTATTACTTTCAATAATAATAATAAAAATGTCGGTTTAGGTTTTGCTGTTACTGTATGGATAGAATGGGGTGGGGGCAAAGAGACAGGAGGGTCACATTGGCACATACAGGGCTATAATAAAACAACTTTATAAACTGATGCTGATGGAAAGTAGCCTGTGGCAAAGTGGAAATTACAGTACGAGTTCTATCATGCTTGCTTGGCACTTGGTTTGTCAGTGATTGTAACGCTGTGAGTCAAATAGTGATCAATGAGAGGAAAAAGGGTGGGGGGAAATCTGGCTTTGAAATCCAACTCTGAAAATATCCAAAGCCAAGTCTTTACAGTAACAGCAGTCTGGAAGAAATCTGAATCTCAGTTGTTGTCTTAGTCACAGTATGCAGCAATAATAATGGGATTAAACGGGCTGCTTTTGTTAATTTTGCATCATCTTTGTGCTTGCCGCTCAGCACTCAATATTAAACTCTAACTACCTCCAGGAAGTTTAGGTTTTGGCTCAAGCCCTAAGAAAAAACAGTGAGGGCTGGAAAAGAACACAATGTAAAGTGCTAAAAACTTTGAAGGCAAACTGAAGAAGTCAAAACATAAGTGTTTGATCAAAAAGAAATAAATATTTTGAAATCGCAACAAAGCTAAAATCCATGTTATGTTTCGAGAAATTCTATGGTTAAATATATTTTTAAAGATGTTTTTCAAGCCAACTGCAGGATTTGCTCCAAAATGCCAGACGTTCAGTTCTATTCGCCAGCACTTGGGGGCGCCATATACACGGCTCATTATGCTACCGGCGTGACGAAATACCAGCAAATCACCTTACTGACTCCAGGTCAGTTTTTTTTTTGCTGTCACTCTCATAGTTATATAGTCTCATAAGCATAAAATAACTGTAGAACTAAAAAGCTGAATGCTCGACTAGTGAAATGCATGATAATGAGAGCCAGGTTTGGAAACTCTCTACTGAACACAATGAAATGGGCTGTGCAGAAGTGCTGAGTATCACTCTTGCTGCACAAATAAGTGCATAAATTATGCATTTTCATTTCAGCTAACACAGGTATATTTCTGTATACAGATTTTTAAAAATCTAGGTTGATTGGACCTAATTCAAGGACGACCGCGAGTCACTTTCTACAGTCACTCACCACTGTAAATAAATGGTACAACACTTCCACCTGTAGCTGTAGAAGACTTTAAGCTGGCTGGTACTTATACTAAATGAGACATTTTTTTCAAAAATGAAAAAAACTCTGTGTTTGTGTAACACAAAAGGCTGGTTAGAAAAACGTGGCTCCCAGTCCTCCGTGAGTCAGTTTGTCTCCCTCCAGTGCCACTGACTGCTGTGTAAAAAATGCAGACTCTTTTGACACCTCCAACACCTGCCCACACTTCCATATACCACTCCTCCAGACTGACACCCTGTCCACACAAACCAGAGGTGGTGTTAGGTTGGAGTGGGAGAAGTGGAGTGACAGAGATAGAAGAGGCACCAAAATGAAAGAAAAAAAGGGGCAAGAAGTTTTTCTTTGACTGGTGTTATGTGCCTAATCTCACATGTGTTAATCCAGAGACACCTTCGTTTGTTTTTCTTTCTTCTGCTGAGTTCTCATCACAGTCTAAAGAAAACGTCCTGTCTGAATCAGTGGTGGTCAATTTTGGAAATCTGTGAGTCTTGGCAGTAAATCCACTTCCAGAACCTGTTCTTGAAATTTCAGGTGTTCTCCTCTGACTGCAGCCACCTTTCTTCACAGCTGGAATTTCACTGTCTGACTCCACTTCTTCTTCTAAGGTCATCTCAAACTGGAACTTGTCAGTCGAGGTGGAGCCGGGAGCTAATGCTTCTCCTGACAGGGTTTTCTTCTCCTGGCCCACAGTGGTCGGTAGTGGGCTGTGAGGGATCATGCTCTGGTACCATTCCCTGTTATCCTCCAGTGTGTCTAGGATCTCCTGAGCGTCCGGGTGGACCAAATCCGCCCACGTCTCCCATAAAGGATGAACAATGTAGTCGATGAAGCCCACCTGCAAAGGGAAGAGAGCAAAGACTCTGTAGAAGTGGTATTTTAAGTTAACAATAAAACAGCAGTCACTTAATGACTGAGGCTAAATTATAAATTAGATTATAATTAGGTAGTGATCTTGAGTACAGAGGAGCCTGTCCAGAACTATATCTACTGATCAATTGATCTGCCGAAAACTTCATTCAATAACGTACCTGGTTCTTCTCGATTGAGGCGTTGTGTTTGTCACACATAGGGCTGATCTCCATGCCTTTGTCTCTCTCTCTGTCTCCCTGGGTGAAAAACTCCACCATGATACGATCTGTCCACTGTCGATACAACTCCAGAGGTTTGGTTGGATTACTGAGGTCTGCACAGTGCACCATGTTTTGGAGAACCTGTGGTAAAAAGAGAGACAGTCAGTGAATATCCGAGGTAAATTATCATGTTTATTTTGCACAAATGTTTCAGTTGTTCTTACCTGAATGCGGTCTGAATAGTTGTCAAGGAGCAGGACTCCTAGACTTGTGACTTTTTTGGTCTCCACCATTGTTTTCAGGTCTGCTAAGAGGTTCATGTGTTTGGACATATCTGTGGCCAAAACCTGCAGGATTGTCAGTCACATTATACAGTCAAACATCATAGCTATGGAAGAACCGGATCTTTGAGTAGATCAACAGACACATCAACAATATCAAGTCTCTCACCATGTCAATAACCATTTTGCGTAACGACTGACTCTGTTTCTTGCTCAGGTTCTGAAAGATGTCACAGTTCTCCTCCTGCAAAAGCTTAAAACCCACAGCCAGGTGGTGGTTCTCCAGCACTGAAGAGTCGTTGTACATCAGAGCCAACTCAGAATCTAAAGGCAAAAAGGCCCAGAGTGAGATGCAGGACAGGCCACCTGTTTTCATATAGCACTTGCCACAAAAAGATCCCATTGACGTTCAGCTGCCAAGCAAATGTACAGTATAATTCACTCACTGGTGTTGATGAGAAACTGATTGGAAACTCCAGGGTGATCCACATCATGGATGGCACTAGCGAACAGGGCAGCAAGGATTTCAAGATCGGTAAACACGGCCTTGAAATGAAACACAGGAAGACAAATACTGTCAGTCAAGGTGTTGCCATTAATGAGTGGGTTCATCTACTCCCTCCATCTACCTCCAAAGCAGGTGTGGACAGCAGGACATGCGTGGATTGCGCCACGTCGGCAGCATGGATGTTGTTGTGGTAGGCTACGTCAGCATGGTAATGATCCTCCAAAGTCATCATGAACGTAATGAAGGTGTCGGCTGGAATCTTGAAGGACTTAAGCAGGTCACGTTCCTTCAGTAGCAGGAAAGACGGAACAGAACACCCAGGTCAGATAGATCAGTAAAGTTCATTTAATAAATACTGTATTAACACTGGCTTTCTCTTATTTATGTTATTGATATGCTTTATTTATCTTTTGTGCCAGGTAATACCAAAGTAGTATTGTGTATGTAGGACTGTTCAGTCACAGGTCAAAGTTCTAATCTGAGGCTATTACCTTTCTCAAATAAATAAATCATAAATAAATAATAACTCACAAGTTACATTTTTATGCTGATGACACATATATGTATATATACAGAGACATATATATATATATATATATATATATATATATTCTATTTATTTTTAGGTAAATAATTGCCCCAAAAGATTTTGTCACGGCACCAACATGTACATGAACAGGCAGTGATACCTGGAAGATGGTGTACATGGTGACCGTCAATGGGCGATTCCCAGAATACTCAGAGACTTTAAAGATGTCAAGGCCCCATCTGTTAATGTCCTCCAACTCCTACAAAGGAACAAGAAACATGTAAATACAATAGACAAAATCAGCTGTAGATGAACAACAATATAAGGCTAAATATTTTTGGACGTACCTTAGCTAGTGGTCCTTCCTGACAGGATGTGACACCAAATCGTGGGATCGTGGAGTGAACAAGACTCGGGCTGTGTGTGGCCTTTTTGACACCACTGATCTGGGACATCAGCCTCTTCTTCTTGTCTTTCTCTTTTGCTGGGGGAGACATGATGTCCATGTCATGCTGCTTCTCTGGAAAACAAATACAACACACAATGAATATCATTGTCAGTTCAATGTTGTGCATGTACAGTATATGTTTCTGAATATTCTTTGAGGGAACGCATAAAGAAGAATGTTTTACCCAGGAAGGTGCTGGAGATGAACTCAGACACCTGGTTCCCTGATCGACTGGTTTCTGACAGCTGGGTGAGCTCTCGGGTCAGCATCCTTTTGAACTGTAGACACAAGGACAAGCACGTATAATTGATACGTACCAAAGGTGAAGACTGACAAATAAAAAATCACATTTCTGATGTTAGCACTGTTGTGCTCTTTTTTTAAACAATACAATAAAACAACCTGAAATCCTACCTGAAATAACTATAGACATTAATTAAAAGTTAAACAAACACATCACTATACTACAGCTCTCAGTAAAGTTCTCCACAGGTGTTTGAATTAACTCTGCATGCTTATATAAGTATGTGAATAATGCCTTTTTCCCCATTTTCCTGAATAATTAGTTTGTGGTGTTAAATTATGGTACGACTTAGATACAGAAAGAAAGCATGTAATTAATAGCTGGTGCATCAAATATGTCTATGATTATTCATGCTCTATTACAGCCACCTGCATCTGATGAACATGGCCACATTTCATACAGGCTTGCAGACTCTGCACTCAGAGTTCTACTGTAGAACTCCTTGTGGAGCAATGCCTTGGTCTGCCACAAGTCAATATCTGCTACAGTTTACAGTCTAAGGAGAAATATTCATGTATACACCAACAGAAAAGCTGCTGATGGTGCTGGTTTCACAGGCCTGGTACTACATCACAGAAAATGTAAGTAGAAACTGTGAGTATTGTAGCTCAGTAGTGGAAACTGAAACGCTCTGGAGCCAGGATCACTCAATCTCTCTGAAACACAATCCCTCCACAGAGAAACGCTCCAACTTCTCAACTGTGTAACACATGCGTTAAGAGTGCTACAATGTTCAGAAATCTCATTCAAACATAGACAACTAAACAGCTATCCACACACAGCATCTAATAACTGTGTTAGTTTGATGACGTCCTGCAATATCTGGTTCACACGTGTACACAGGTTAAAACTTGAAGGTGAAAATATGAGTATACTTATGGCTTTACTTTTGAAGTAAAGCACAAGCATATGTTGAATACTTGTTCACAGTCAGTCACACAACAAGCAACATGTGAGATTTGGTCAATGGATCGATTCCCGCCCAGTTCACCCTGTGTGTCCTCCTTACCTGAAAGAACATCCACGAAACTGAGATTAGATAACTCACTTCTGGCATTTCAGCGCAGAATCAAGCATGGGAGAAAGAGTAAAACTGTGAGGTCAAAGAGCAGAGCTTCTTGGTCATCAGAGGAGCAGACGGCAGAGGACACTTTGTTCTGCTGTTGCTGCCTTCCCCATGAAAATCCTCCATAAGTAACCAACTCCACAAGTCGGTGCTTAGAGAGGTCTGATCAGGAATAGCTGAGCAGATGTGAAACGTAGAAGAGCCGTCCGGAGAACAACAAAAGAGTGTAAACCCAGCTGTGGGAATGCAGTGGGATGCGGGATGCAATGCTGACAAGCCACACTCCCTCGCTCTCCCCCTGACTCTCCCTCATTCACTCACTTGCTGCCTCTGTGTGTGTGTAAACACTGGGAGAATGAGGTACTCTAATCCCCGCCTCCTTCCAAAAAAATGCCCAAGAATAGTAGCCAATTAGGAGCGGGATGCACCAGAAACCGGGAGATACGGTGCTCCCTTATTGGCTCAGGGAAAGCAGGGCTGAACGTGGCAGAGTAGGAGGCAGGGGAAAAGAGCCATGTGCATGAAGTTTGAAGAAGATATGAAGGAGAAGCACTGAATGGACAGTGTGTATGTGTGTGGAGAGTAATGGGGGATGGTTTTCATTCATAAAGCCAAAAATAAAACAGTACACATTAGTAACAGTACATTTACTATCATCATGAATGAATGTGGTTATAAATAGAATGCACTGAATATATACTAATGAGAAAATACATTGGAAAATTATCAACAAATAAATGAGACAATTAGTGCTAAAAGTCAACTCATTCCTATAATTTTTTTCTCATAATTTACCACAATGTCTTTGTGTGAGTATACATAATAAAGACCTATAAAGATCTAAAAGGTCGACGTGAGGGTAGCAGTTCAAGGATTACACTTCTGAATTTAAATATTTTCTTTAGTCACAACAGTTTTCCCGTGTAGTGATAGAGCAGCCATTCTTTTCCTACACTGTTATGCAGACACTATGCTGCAGATAGGATGGGCGATAAGAGTCTCATTGCAATGCAGGACATTTTCACAATGGTGGTTAATCCAGAGCAATCTTTAGTAAATGAGGTTTAGCTTCAAATTTCAGTTTGAACAGGTGTAAAGAAGAAAATCAAACAAATTAGCATTGCCTTAATACATGATGTGATGGTAGTGTAGATGGAGTGTGGAAGCGGTTGCCTGCTGTAAAAACTGCCACCGCCACGTGAGCACACAGCTCAGGATGGGTAGAGTGGTACAGTGTACTCTATGTATGTGACTGGAGGCTAACGGCGGTGGAGGAGAGAAATAAACTTAAAGTGTATGTGATGGCAGGAAGACTGTTTTGTGTGTGTGTGTGTGTGTGTTAGTACAAATAGCACGTGTGAGTTGTTGTGTGGGCGGTCTAATCATGAGATCACATGAGCATCGGGCTTACTCTGAGAAAGGAGGAGGAGGAGCAGCGGGATGCACAGGGGAAGGAAGTGAGGATGGATGGATGGGTGTATGGCTGGATGGAGGGGGATGCCGTTTCGTCTCCAGCATCACTCCACTACCTCATTCACATTTTTCTGCACATGAGTGGGGGGAAGGGAGTGTCTGTGTGTCTGGTTTGTATGCTTGGATAAAACCATCCCGCTCATTCATGGAGTAAGCCTCCTATACAAACCCCCTTACATCAGGGAGGAAGGGTTCCATTTACATTCTTTTTACTGTATAAATGGCTGTGGATAAGTGAAGGCTAAATGGACTCACAGCATTTAAGCCCTTTAAATCAAGGCATGTGACATAAAAATGATACAGCTCTAGACAGAGTAGAGCTATAGAAAAGTCATTTATCATTTCTGATTTATTACATGGAATGAATAGACTAAAGTACAATGCTATGGTGTAGTAAAGCAGTGTGTTTTGATGTTAGTGACAGTGGTGTCTAACACTACACTTTGTTTGAATGTCGCAGCTGATATGAGATGATACTGAATATTTAATCCCTTTGATAATAGTGTGTGTGTTTATGGTAGAAGATCAGGATTGTATATGTATATATGTATGTATGTCTATACTAGATCCATACATGTGTTCTTGGAAATGATACTCAGGAATAAGCATAAAAATCAGCATGTACAATGACTGAAATGTATCATATTAAGTAAATAGGTTAGAATGGTAAAAATCATCGAAAATGACAATGTTTTTATGACTATTTCATTTAGTATTCAGTCGTATGACATATTATATTATATAACAACTTATATTTTTATGATATTCAGCAGTGAATAACAAGTTCATTTAGAGGAAATTTAAAATCCCATCTGTAATAATGTTAATTAAGAGGATCAAGTATAACCAGTTCATCCATTTCTACTCCACTGTTTGTAAATGACGAATAGTAAATGAGAATAGGGACACCCTGCAAAAAGATCAAGTGATCACCCGGTTTTCTTTTAATGAGTCACGTTTGTGACATTATCGTGATCTAGTGTGCATTTCCCTCTGTGTTTGTGTTGCGTGTCATTACATTACCTTGTTTGATGCCATCTCACTGACAGAGTGACGGGTTTTCAGCGTCTCCAGCTGCTCCAGACACCAGTCCAGTTCGTCCAAAGTCTCTATGGACAGCTGGTGGTGTGGCTCCTCTGCAAACACACAGGAAGACATGTTGGGATGGATTCAGCTCTTGAATTTTATTATTGCACAATTTAAAAATTTACACTTGAGTATTCCTCAAAAACAAACATCTGTTTAATTTGACTTTTGCAAATATAAATACTGGGACCAACCTGCAAGACTGTTCTTACACATAGATGGTGGGTTACTGCCTGACGACCGTGTCCTGCACACCAGAAATCAGCAAGAGTCAGTAAATATATTTTATTGTACATTTTATTTCTATTTTTGTTATATGAGGATATGTTCATCAGGTTTTTTTTAAGTCACATACTTGCTTGTTGGTCGATCTTGTTGGCCTGTTATAATGGCAAAGTTATTTCGTACTGTCCTCAGGCTGGCAAGGACCTAAACATAGGAAGAGGAGTTTGTCATGTGACTCATCTGTCATTATTGATGTCAATGAAATTACACTGTTATGTGGCCTCAGCCAGTTGAATAATATGATATGCTTTAATGCCACCGCTGTAGGCGCTGGTAATTGGTTTGTGTCCTGTAGGCTTTCACACCAACAGTAATATGAGAAAAATAACCTGGTCAAATTATTAAAACAATTGCAAAAATGTCCATGTCTGTGGGAAAACATGTAATGGACTAAGACCTAAGAGGTTCATTTGACATAAAAAAACATTCAAACATTCCCTAAATACCATTGTATGCTTCAGGGCAATTTGTCTTCAGCTGGAATTTGGAACTTTAGTCAGGGTTGATGAAAGTGAAAACAGTTTTGAATATCTGTATATGTTCAACAAAACTCTACAGGTGTCTACTGGGAAGCTGAAAAGAAAAAAAGACTTTAGAATGAAACATATTTTCTAATCAACAAAGGTGTTTCTTTAAGTGGAGGGAAAATATATGCGAAAGCAGTTGAATGTCCTAATGAAGTCCAAAGTCTGCACAGACAACTCAGTATCTGCTGTATTTCCAAATGAGTCGCTGATGAGGCTTTGAACACTATAAATGTCCATCCGAGCTGCAGCACCAGTCAAAAGTACCCCCCGCCCTCCTTTCCTTCTTTTCTTTCTGATGTTGTGACATCAGCGACCCCCCTGCCATGTCATGTCTGTCACTTCATTTGCAGCCAAGCCCTGACTCAGCCCACAGGAGAGCCTGTGAAGTATCCAGTGTTGAAGCCATGTACGAGTCCTTTCAGCCAGCATGCAAATTTAAACAGCATGATCCAGCAGTATTAGATTCACTGACTCTACCTCTAGTGTAAAGTGAGCACAAGTGTGACGCACGTCCCACGCAAGAGCCAGGCAACACCAGCAGGACGCCTGCTCCTGTCACAGGGCCAACACAATGCTGAGGGCTGTTCCGGCGGAGCAGTAAAGCTCTGTCTTCTGGACCATCTGGACTCTTTTAGAACCTACATTTGTTTGTTCTTTAGCTCATAAGTGAAGGCTTTAATTTATTGGGTCTTGTGAATTTTTAGATATTATGTGTGAATGTACTCACCTGTGCAAACGGTGTGACAATCATGTCTTCTGTGTGCCTGAAATAAAAGAGAAATTGAAAAAAAGGAAAGATAATGTGGACTGAATCAATACCAGTGGTTGTCTATGCAACCATGTAGTCGGAGAACATTATTAGTTCCCGTGTTACATCTGATAACATCCTCAATTATTGCTCCCTTCGATCCAAAAGACAATGGTGACATGCATCGTACATCCTCCATTATTGCTCCCTTCGAAAATCCAAAAGACAATGGTGACATGCATCGTTCTCTAAGAAATGATGTTTAAAGAAATGTTTTGGGTAAAGAGGAAAAATAGTTTTGGGTATTAACCAGTAAATATAACTATACAGTGTCGTTATAGAGATTTGGGTATTAACCGGTAAATATAACTATACAGTGTCGTTATAGTTTACATTTTTTTGGTAAAGCATCACATGCAAACACAAAACAAACAATGCTGGGTGTCTAACAGGGGTCACAGACGGAGTGTTGGGTGTTTAGTCTAATTTGTAAGGGGGTTGGTGATGGAACCATCAGTGGAGAATGCAGGAGAGGAGTCTGGGGCAGAGAAGAGAGTCAGTGTTTTTATTTATCTCAATTTTTTTTTTGTGAGTTCTTCTCACCGAGATGACAACCAGTTGACCTCCCAGTGCTTCAAGCTTTCCTCCCTTAAAAACAGATAGGTAAGAGTGGATGAGGACACCAGCAGAGGCTGCTTACTTCAGTGTGTGTGTGGTTGTGTGTATTAGAGGGGATCCACTCCTTAGAACTAACTAATTATCAACAAAAATACAAATGAATAACAATGAAAAAGGCATAGACAGAATGAGAGAGAAGATGGTAGATCAATTTAAAACCAAAACAAAAAACAAAAAAAAAACAGGAAATGAATATGATCATTTCCTGACATACAAATGACAGGTATCAAAGCAAATCATTATAAAATCTTTATTTACAAGAGCCTTCATTAGATGACTGAAAAAATTATGTCTAGCAATATTTGTCAGAGTAACCTAAATCCTGGTGGAATCCTAAAAAAACAAACCAGAGAACTTCTGTCTAAGAACAAGTTCTGCACCAAAATATCACCAGTCAGTGAAGTAGAGACCTCAACTGTAGCCGTTTAAACTGAAGCCCTCTGGCTTGAGAGATCGGTTTTCTCAAGGGAAATGCCAAGGAGACTAGTTTCAAATTTGCATGTAGGGTTTACACCACAACTATTTGCTGCTGCTTGTTAAGAAACCAACCCTAAAAGCAGGGAACCACGTGACCCACTAGTAGGGAAAACCTCCCTGCACAGGAAAGACAAACAAGGAGAGAAAAGACATCAACAGAATGTCTTTTAATGTTAAAGTGCTTTTAGTGCAATGCGATGCTCAAATCCTGCATACTGTACACAGTTTTGTTAATACTACGTATGAATGAAAAACTGTTTATTTATCTGAAGGGAGACATTAGAAACTATTGTCTTTAAAAATATATGGGAAAAAAATATTTTTAGATTTTTTATTTAAGGCTCATTTATTTTGACACTGATGTCAAATCTTGAAGACATGTTTATCAGTGCTGGAATTCTTAGAAATGAACTTACAGGTCACTGGCAGCAGCAGAGTTCCTGGAAGGACCTTTGGGTGAAAGGTCAAAGTCAGAGTCTGAGCGGTAGAGGAAGGATTCCCTCCGCTGGCTGTGGGGAAAGTTGGCCTGCAGGACCAGACCCGAGCCTGGACTGGCTTGAGGGTCCAGGGGGCTGCGACCCACTGACAATCCATTTTCCACATCAAAACTACAAAACAAAAAAAGAGACAGAGAGAATCAAGGCATTAGAAAAATATGATATTTTCTTTTTTTAACCAAAACCTTGACCTTTTCTGAAGATAAATTCAAAATGGAACAGTTGGCTGAACGTGACGTGTGAACAAAAGAAAAAAATATAATTGAAATAGTTTACATCTAAAATATTACAAGCTGTCATCAGTTGGTTTTACAATGCAGCCATTTTTGACCCCCTAACACAGGAAATGGTGTCATTTTAGAAGGAAGCACGGCCATAATAAATCAGCGAGGCAACAATAAGATCTAAAAATGATGAAACACATAGAATAAAACTGTGAGAAACGCATGGGAACGTACTTATCAGCCCTGATGTACAATATCCCACAGAAGAACCTAAAATCAGTTCTGTGTTAAAATGTGTCATGATGTGTGATAAGAAAAATACTTCAACCACAATGAGTGGGTGTTGAGAATACCAGACAGAGAAGGGTTTTCATTCTGATGATCACATAC